AGAAATTGCAAAGGTTTTTTTTTCCCCAGTTTTATTTTCTTAATTTTGCTTTTCAAAAATCGACTGAAATTAACATTTGACTTGCAGAAACATGCATCGGAGCTCCTGTGATAAATATCCGAGGTGATTAGTGATTGATGTAGTTTTGAGGTGTTGATTGGATTTTAAATTTTGACAAAATTTAATAAAATATTTTTTTACATGAATTCCGAACTTCCGAAAGTCTGATTGTGATGCATTGCATGAACATGAACAGTTTTCTCAAACTATCTCAGTTGAATTTATGACGTCCTGCCCTCTGTGTGTTTGGTTTGTTTGGCTTCCTGACTTGGCAGACTGTAGGCGGAGTCAGGAAGGCCATTAGCTAACTGTGGACAGGCTAGCTGTTCCAATTTTAATTAGCTAGATAAAATGTGAATTAGAAAAACTTTTTTCCTTTCTGCTTTCAGCAACAAACACACATACACAAACACTTACAATCACTAACCACACTTCCTATTGTGTCCGTCTTTTTCTTTCCTTCATCTTTCTTCTCTCCTCTCACCTTCTCATCTTTCCCCCCCTCCCCCTGCTCGTGCCCTGAAGGCCCAGTTCAGCCTGTGGTCCTGCTCTTCCTCCAACTGTAATACATTAGGAGGATTAACATTCCTACAGTAAGCTGCAGACCCAACCTCTCGAGCTTTTCTGTCCTCTTGCTCAGCCCCTCCAGCTTGTGCTGTCTTGCATGTAATTTCCCGTTTGCCTTAGAACTCCCCCACCATCCTAATAATGTCCTCCAACATGCACGCCACGTACACGGATTGAAGTTCTATCTGTGAGTCAGGGTTATACTGCAGGTACACAGGCAGACGCACACAGTGCTGACTGCATGGATTCTATTTTCACATCTGGGAAACCCAATCCTTTAAATCACAGAGAAAATGTTATTTTTCAATATTATTATCTCACAGTTCAGAAGACCACAATGTGCTAATATTAACCCCCCAAAATCCATTTGATGGATTGATAGGATAAATAATGCCTAACTTTAAGGCTCATTGAAACATCTTTATTTATTATTTAAATATTAATTAGAGTGTTGGCGTTACAGTACTTTATTTGTCTTAAAAGTCTCATAAAATGGGGCAAATGTCTCTTCATAGTTTCTCTCATCCTTGTCGGTAAAAGCTCTAAGCCTGTATGCTCTCACTGAACATGTTCATTTTAAAGATACCCCAAAATGATATGGTCTGAGTGTTTAAAAAAAGCTCAGCTAAAGCTTACCACTGTAATCTTAGCAAACATATACTGTATGTCAAACTGATGGGAAAAAATGCATCTGTTTGGATCTATATTCAGAAGCAGATTTAAAACAGATATAGCTCCTCCTATCCAGGGGTTACTTATGCGCCAAGAGGTGCATCTTTATTTGTCAACGGGTGTATGGACAGATTGTATTACAAATTGGCGTGAGGGTGATCTTCAGTAGACTCATTGTCACAGTAACCTTGTTGCATGCCTCTGGTTGGATGTGTCCCACCAACCTCAGTCAGTAGTAACACCTGAACAAAGGTGAAGCATGAGGTTAGTTTATTCAGAATGGAAACATTTTGACATTGATAGCTAAAAGAGACACAAATGCAAACTGAATTTTTGACTTTATGACATCTTTACTTCTTTGTATTCTAGAAATGAAAATGTGTTTGCAGTCATCAAGGTAGGTTGTTGTTGAATGAAATGTATGAAAAACAGTATTTACCAAAGAGAACAGAAACTTTTCACAAACGTGACCGCACTCTCAGGCTCCAAGTGGCTGTAGCTCCGCTCCTGTCTAAAACCTCTCCCAGACACCTCTAATTGGCCACTATTTATCCAGGAGCCCAGGAGAGCAGAGTGCACCCTGGGCTGTTTTCACATGGGATTAACCCAGGTCCAAATCCCAACACACTTCACAGAGAAAAGCCCAACACTCTCACAGCATCATCTGGCACAGATTGGCCCCTGTCGGCCCTGTTTACTCTATCTGACGGCTCTGATTTAGCTCAGTGTTTCTGAGCTGCTGGTCCTCTGGCAGGCCAGGGGTTTAAAGGTGATACAGCCAATATTTGAGACTATCTGACCTGATGGCACTTTAGCTTTATTACATGCATTTTACGTCGCTCACAATGGTCTATATTTATTGTTGACAAAAAATCCCATGTGTTCCAGGTCTGAACCAACAATTAATTAAAAAAGAAAAGATTTACTAACCAACATTATTGCTCTTTGTCCTGCAGGAGACTCTTTGAATTAAAACATGCATATCTTAACATGGGAGATTCAATACTTACTGGATCTGTTGTTGTTGGGTTTTTTTTTAATGCCAGAATGTTCCAGAGAAATCTGAGAGCAATTTTAATTGTAAGCGCTTTTTTTATTGTTTCCTTTTAGATATTTTTAAATGTCAGAGTGTGTGTGCTTTAGGAGTTTCTATAAAGAGGTGATGGAAGGAGGAATGAACAAATTGCAATTAAATGCCTGATTAACAAAAAAATATATAATTTGGAACTTCAATTTCTTTGACATTTTGTATTGTATTTGAGCTATGTAGAGTTACACAATTACCCAAATCAATGTTTATTAAAACAATTTCAATTGCTGTATTAAAACCAAATATTAAGTTCCTTGATATGGTTATGATTGTTATTCTGGTTAAATGATAACAAAAAATCTTATGAAAGATTTAAACATGAGATTTAAATGAAATAAACATGTTATTTTTGAACATTTTACGGATAGAGTCAGTATCACATTTTTTGCAGCATTTCAAGTACGTGTTTTAAACACATTTGCTCATTAACAGAAATGTTCTTTTTCATTTGTTGCTGAACATATTTACTGTTCAGTATTCATTTTATGTAAAAGCAATTCCCAAGGCAAGGCGACAGTTATGAAAACAAAACACAACAACACTTAGTGTTTTTCTTGGATTGATACTTGGCTTAAAAAAATACCACTTTTAAAAATCCTAAAGGTATACACTTCTTTAGAGTGAAGGGTGTGAGATGAATATAATATATGATGTATCAGTTTTGAAAGCAAATTATAATAATGCATACTGACAGAGCAGGTCACAGTCAATAAAGATATATCAAGACTAGCAGGGATTAAACTCTCAGGTCTGACAGAGTATGGAGCTGTGATAAAAGGGAAACACTTGTTAATTTACCTGCTCTCTACTGCCATCTAGTGGACACTGCAGTGAAGAAAAACATGATTCTTGTGTCTAACACAAGGCAACACTTCTTGTTTAAACCATCTATAAATGACCTGAATTAGTCTTTTATAAGAAACTTTAACACTGTAACAAGAAAAAAATGCTGTGTTTATATACTTGTTGCAGCTATCTGTCCTGCCCACATTGATGTGAAATTCAAAATAATTGACAATAAACATAAGTTGTTATAAAAAAACTTTTTTTTTAATGTGATGCATTGAAATCAGCAAAAAAAATGAAATTTTAGCGTGATATGAAACAGACTTTTTTTTTTTACATGAATGCTAAACTTGAATTCTTTTGTGACACTTAAACATAAAAAATCTTCTGAAACTAAATCATCATATTTATTAGCTAGAAGCAATCTCAATGACAATGAGTAACATTTATCAAGCTTTATAACTCTCTTAAAGCACGAGTCATTAATGACCTACCCCCAGCTTCTCTGGGACCCTTCTCTCTTGTCTATCCTTGACTCATCTTGTCGTTCTGTGTCGCCCTCGGTGACCATTGCATAACATCTCACATGCGTGTGAACTCTGTCCTCTCTTGTCTCTTGTGTGTGTGTACTCTTGTCCCTTTCAGGGTCTCCATAGTGGACACAAGGTCGTGTGGCGCAGGTATGTTGGGGACTTATGAAATTACTCAACGTCCTCACAGATCCATACATACTTCTTTATGCGGTCCTATGGAAGAAGAGAGGCTGTAGGTTGTTAGTATGAAAACCCCTCTGAGACAAACTTGTCATTTGTGATAAAGAGAGACAACAGGAGCATTTCTGGTACCCCTCAAACCACAAGTGCTCATGGGAGCTTAAGACCAAAAAGCATTGGTTTAAATGATCCAGGTCCAGGGACTCAGGATGGTATAGAAGGCATTTCATTCACAGTGGTAGAAAATTTAAAGCACACCAACGCATAACGGCCTGAGCATTGTTCAGGCTGTGACACCCTGCTGTTTAATGAGTAGTTTGTGGCCATTGCCCATAATAAAAAGACTCATAGATGGTCTTCTTCACAAACCTGCTAACAACAAACAGAAAATGCCCCACAGCTGCCATGCTCCCTCTAACAGCCTCGGTCTATAGACATAGGGGGATGGTCCCTGCTTGCTGCTTTTATGATGATTATTACGTTCATTTCATTCAGAATTAAAAAAAAAAAAAAAAAAAGAGAAAACAAACAAACACATTATTATATGATCATTTCAGTAAATATGAAATGCACAAATAAATACATTTAGGTATAGGACTGACCTAAAAGGTGGGGGGCGAAGCTCTGGCTTATTATGCCCACTCTTTTTATAGAACATACTCCCTTCATCAACCTTTTAAGTTCACCACGAAACAAAACACTATTTGAAAATATCAAACTTTGACTTGTGAATTGACCTTTTTTACTTGTTTTTAGAGCTAATCCTGAGATAAGACAGGTGACCCTTCCAAGTGTGGATGAGGGTTTTTCTTTCAGCTGATCAAGAGTTGTTGAATTGTATGTCTGCAGGTGATGGAATAAGGTAAGTATGAATAGAACTGCCCAGTGACCAGCAGGTGACCTTACATAGGTGTCTTACATGTCACTTTGTCACCTGTGTGTTTCCCAGCCGAGCGTGTGCAACAACACATCTGGCTGCAGTATTTAAAGAAGTGCACGGGTAGTTGACTGTGGTCTTGTCTTGAGTCAAGGTGAGTGCAGCATGATTCCTTCTATCTATTCGTTTTTATTCTTTACATGCATAGTTTCTAATGAGGCTTTATTTCCAACAGATGGCACAGACGTGGAGTTTTGGTCTGCTCTGCTTCCTCGTGGGGGCATCATATGGTGAGGTTTTGTTTTAACTCAAGATAAAGGGGTATATTTTTCACCTTTAATTAAAGCTGTAAGTGATTTCTTAAAATGACACGTTCTAGTCTTATAATGAATGATTGCAGCTTTAGCTCTGGTGAAATCATCTTATTCCACCCTGTTTTGACTGTAGCATGTAGCTGACTGTTTCAGCTTGGCTGGAATAGTCAGGCCCAAGAATTCATGCTATGAATAGCTGCACAATTTATTAGGTGCAAATATTTTACTTTTTTAAAAACATTTCCCCCCCAAACAAAGAGTTTGATTTGATTCTTGCTGGTTACAACCTCTCTCCATTGAATGATGTGTTAAGGAACTGATTCAAATATTGCCCTAGATTCAATTTTCAATGTAGCTTGGTTTTAATGTAGGTCATAAGTTTATGATTAAGTTCTTGCTTGTCCCAATAACGTTTATCTCGTATTCTGCTTGACAGGAGTATACGTGTGCTTAGCTACAAAATAAATAAAACAGAGTGAACAGAAGCCTGTCTGTGTGCGTTTATAAAAGAGAAAGTCTGACAGTGGAAATATGAAGAGTCCAAGCAGCGACAACCTTATGCTCACTGACCACTTGGTTTGGATACACTTGCGCTGAAGAGAGATAGGAATTGTTGGAAGGAGAGAGTTGAGGACGACATTGAACAAAGGGTCAAGGTTGAATTCAAACCCATGGCCATTGCGACGAGGACTACAGCCTCTGCACTCGACATAGCTGCTTGGCTATCCCGCTCCCTTATTAGAGACATTTGCACTGATTTTAAATAACAAGTTTTAACATGTTCTATGTTAATAGAATACCCTGAGTACAGAAACCATATTGAGACTCAAGTTGAAAACAAGTTGGAATCTGAATGGATGGACATTTTCTCTTTGGATTTGGTGAAAAACAGTCACAATGTTGATAAAGTCAGGCTTGAGTACCAGGTATACTAAAAATATATATCAGAGGAGCTCATTTTCTTGTGTATTTATGTATTTTGAGATGTTAAAAATAATTTCTATTTTTAAATGTTTCATTTGCAAAAATAACTTTCTCCATTGATTTATTTGCACTTATACTCAAAGTTTGACTTAATGTTCAACATTTTGACTTTATTCTGCACTAAATATTTGTATTTTCTTTTGCCTGTCCATAATATTATACTGTAAAAAGAAATCTGGAGAATGTAAATTGATGACATGGTTTGCTGTTGGTTTAAGTTAGTAAACTTGGAGCAAACACAATGTGACCTTTGACTTCTTTTGGACATCCTATTGCCAAGATATATATCCAAGATGTGCTTGTGCAGCATGTTCAGACATGTATTGAAAGGATACCTTATTCGATCAGATTTGCTAGTCAATCATACCAACAGTGCTCCAGTATCATTGTGAGTTGTTCTCTTTGTGGGAGTATTAGGGTTTGAACCTAGTGGTTTGTTTCTATGTCCACAGCGGCTGAGGTCTGTTTTGATGAGGAGGGCTGCTTCAATGACCTTCCTCCCTGGGGGGGCACCACTCAGAGACCAGCCTCCATCTTGCCATGGGACCCTCAGGAGATAGGCACCCGCTTCCTCCTCTACACCCAGAGGAACCGCTACTACCAGGCAAGAGATGGGTTCATTTATTTTTGACTGGTAAAGGCTACCTTAGCCGTTATTGTATAAACCACTGATGTGATCATGTGAAAATTCTATGTAACCATCTTGGTACATACGTAAACGTTTCTTATATTGAGGTGAAGTCAATAAATGTGTTTTATACACAGTCGCACTCTGAATCCTGATTTATCTTTCACTTACTTGTGGAAAACTTTGCCACTGCTCACTGCATTGTACTCAGAAAAGCCGTGATTGGTTTGTTCGGTAGGATCTGACTGCACTGCAAACTGCGATTGTGAGTCTCAATGTCAACAGCTATATTTGAGCCTCAAGGAAAGATCAGAGGAAAAAAAAACATGTGTTCAACATTTATTCAATCGAAGTTTGACCTCATGAAAAGCAACAGATTCTTGAATTATGTGTCGAATTTTAAACAAGCTAAGCACTTTGGCATTGAACCTTAACCACCAACTTGTTTTTTTAGTGGTGTGATGCAAAACAACGCAGAAGAAAACAGTGCAAGAGTATTAAAGCTCACATCAGCGTAGGCAACTTGCTCAGCCTCTGCAAGGATTCAATGCCTGTCTATAATTCTTTTAAAGGCTGAATATGTGACTTTTCCCTCTGAAATATAATAGAAATCAAGTATATCCTCTAAAAATAACTCTGTGAGTCATGACTGTCTACAATGGGTGTAACACCCGAGTCCCACTGTCTGTGATGCTTTCAGAGCTTTCTGAGCCGTAGCTTCACTTTGTTTACATCGCCATGACGGCCGGCTGACTCCTCCCCTCGCCTATAAAAGTTGTTTAATTGAGGGACTAGAGAAAAGAAGAATAACATACTGTTCTCACTGCTTAACTGCGTTTCTAGATCACGGTCATTTTGGGTAAATTTACATGCAGTGTGAAGATATGAGCATAATAAATATCGCTTTATTAACACAACGATGCAGCGCAAGTTGTTTTGGTTTCATGCTAGTGCTCAAGGGCGACATCTGCTGGATCAAAAAATCGCAGCACAGAAAAATAGCACATTTGGCTCTAAAAATCACAACTTTTAAAGATAACCACTTTATACATTTTTTGCAAGAAACAAGCACTAACATTCAAATCTACACAAGAATACGTTTCTTTAAGGGTTTTACCAACAGAAGGAACACCATCAGAATAATTGGTATATGAATATTGTATCATGAGAAATTCAAAAGAAAAAGAAAACGTGAATAAACGGCTTATGCTTTTAATGTCTTTGATATTGAAACCATCAGGAGCTCAAAGCTGACAAAAGCATCGAGGCAACAAACTACAGCGGGCTGAGAAAGACTCGTTTCATCATACCCGGTTATTTGGAAAAAGGAGATGAGGACTGGCCACAGGAGACGTGTAAGGTAAGAAAACACAGAATGAAAAAGTCCCTTAAAAAAATACTTCAAGTGAATAACAAGAGTTAAGTGTTATATTCCATGCTGTCCTGGACTTCCACTTCAGAACTGTTCGTTTCCTAAGATTTGATGTTTGGGTCAAGAAATGAGTCTTTGCTGATTGTCCACACAGCTTCATCATATAGTACAGTAGCAACAGGTTTTCTATGCAGTATACTGATGGGAGACCAAGTTTTCCTTCTCTCAATTTAAACATTTACTCGTCCATAGATCACCTGATGTAATTACTCACCTATATGCCATTTACTTTATAACCCAGTATTTTGCTCTCATACTTTGTTGATTCTTGTTTATTTGTATTTGTCCTTTTGGTATGTAAGTGAACTCATATTTCATGTCATATTGTTTGTTATTCTGATGCCTCTTGTTCATGTTTTTAAGTTCTTTTACAATAAAGCTCTGGGACCAGTTAGGTTAAATACATCTTTGTACAACTCAGACTAACCCTTAAACCTTGTTGTGGTTCTCAGGTCATGGTGTCATGGGAGAATGTGAACTGCATCGTTGTGGAGTGGAAGAAAGGTGTGAGGACTCAGTACGCCCGGGCTGCTAGTAACAGCAGGGTGGTGGCTGCTCAGGTGGCAAACATGATGAGATTCCTCATGGTAAGAGTTGAGCTAGCATATGCTTACAGTCTTTGTGCTAAGCTAGGCTAAAAACATTGTAGACCTATATGCATGATTCTCTTCCACAATATATTTTCCCGCTGTCATGCCCTTAGTCACTGTGATCAACTAAATTATAACTTTGACTTAATATTCTTTAACATCAAGTCGTTACAGTACCAAAGCTGAAACTATGTGAAAAGTTGTGGTTTGTCAGTAATTAGCCAACAACACTTCTTTGTTAGGTGTGACAAAGTAGCTTAAACAATAAATCATCACAAACTTAAACATGGAAGCAGCAGTCTTCCTGTACTCCTGAGCTTTCTTACCAAAAAAACCCTGATGACAAACTGTTCAGGAGAATAGTACAAGACCATCACATCACAACACAGGTACTTGCAAATCACTGCAAAGGAGGAGGGCTTAGGCGGGACTTTGCTGAGAAAACAATTATAAATCCTACACATACAAATATATTTTTTCAATAGTTGCTCGGTTGCGTTTAAAAGATAAAATCGACAATATATTAGTTCTTCCATAAAACTGGTTAATCTTAAAGATGCAATATGTCAAATTTATGCACTAGAATATCTAAATCAATTAACAATTAACTAACCTGTGTTATATATTTTAGACACTTTTTTATCGTTGCTACTGTACATACGTGAGGGAAAAGGGAACTGTGCTACTAAAACCTGCCGTGTACTGTTGCTGTTTGTGTTGCTGAGATAAAAACTTAAAGTCAATGACATTTGACAGATTAACACATTGGCAAACACAATCTCTTCCTCAGGTCCGAGTGGACTGGGTTAATTTTCATCGGGGGTGGGGGTGGAGTAGCAGAGATAATTACTCCCATGATTCCCAAACAGCCATGATGTGATCTTTTGCTATTGATTTGATTGAGAGCCGGAATGGCGGAATTTACATACTGTGCGTTTAAGGAAAGAGATTTAACCAAAATAAAAATAAAATGGAGTAGAGGGTGTTTTTCACATGTGTATATCTGTTACATAGTAATTGCTTCTGCACAGCTGAGTAATCACAGAGGCCAAAAATGAACACAAAATTACACAACAGGCAAAGACTAAAGTGCACAACCATATGCAATGAATGTCCTGACATGAATGACACTGTATGTTGTTTGAATGATTGTGTAGATGATACCCTATCGTTGCATTTTACATGGTTTTCATCTCCCAGGGCAACTACAAGCAGAAAGCTGATAAGTTCCACATTATCGGACACGGCATCGGGGCTCACGCAGCAGGAGACGTTGGCAGCAGGATCCCTGGCCTCGCACGCATCACAGGTGAACCCTTACAATATTTAATGGTCATTGATGTGTAACTGTAAAACAACTCACTATGTAACATGAAGAAATACTTTTTTACCGTTTAAGAATTTCTTTTTTTTTCACATTTCACTTCAAAAAACATTTTGTTTTTAACTTCATTGCTAATTTATATTTTGAAATAGATTGCCATCTGGACTATTATTGACCCTGACAAAGTATTAGTATAAGCATCAGCATAGCATCAATTTACAATTAAAAAACAGGTAGTTGTTCACCTATTTAATCAACTGTTTTATGTTTAAATATCACATGTATTAACCTTGCATTAACTGCTGACACTCTAAGGAGCATCAAAATCCCCCAAAAAAGCTACTTAGATAAGGAAGAAAAAAACGTGATTAACTTACATCTACATTGCCAACAAATACTTTTAAAAATATAAAACAGAGACACAGGATGAGAAGACTGAACGCAGCTTGATTTGTTAAATGAAAGTAATTTCTTCCTCAGAGGCCAAAAAGGCATCAAAGTTCGATGAATATGTAATAGGGACAATATTTTGGTGCTAAGCTTCAATGAGGGATCAGATAGAATACAGAGCTGTTCATTGATCACTCGTTCTTTTTTTTCTCTTCTCAGGACTCGACCCGATTGAACCTTACTTCCAGGACACTGATGCCGCTGTGCGTCTGGACACCAGCGACGCCCTCTTTGTGGATGTCATTCACACTGATGGACTTCCTTTTGACTCAAAACTTGGTACAGATCCCAGTTGATGACAATAAGTGAATCTAAGTGGATGATACCATCTCAATGTCTTCGCTATACTTCCTAAAACTCTTATCCTAATCAGCGACCTGGAAGTAGTCCTCCTTTTAGAATGTGACAATGTAAAAATAGAAAAACAGATGGCTAACTTGGCTTCAGCTAATGGAAATAAGGGAGCTTTGGCTGAAATATTCTATTTGGTCAAATTTGAAAGACTATTATATCAAAGCGAAAGCGATTTCTGTCTCCCTCCTCTAAGGTCTGGGGATGACACAGCCTGTGGGCCACATCGATTTCTACCCAAATGGAGGAGAGCTGATGCCAGGCTGCTCCGCCAACAGCGGCAAACACACTGACCTGGACGCCTTCTGGCAGGGTGAGATCAACTGAGACACACAAACACATTTTTATAAGTAAAATGAAAAGTTTGTCATATGAAGAATTCAGTTCCGTTAAGTAATTCAGCCACTTTTGATCATTGGCAATTATTTGATGGTTGATCATGTTCATGTAGTCACGTTCTGAAATTGGAAACAGAAAAGCCCAAATCGGGGCACTGGTGGTGCATTTAGTGCGCGCGCCCCATGTATGGAGGCTGTAGTCCTCCAAGTGGGCGGCCCAGGTTCAAATCCGATCTGTGGCTCCTTTCCCGCATGTCATTCCCCTCTCTCTTTCTCCCTGGTTTCTGACTCTATCCACTGTCCTGTCTCTACAATAAAGGCACCAAACAGCAAAAAAAAATCTAAAACAAAAAAGCCAGACCAATCCCATTCTAGACGTCCTGTGTCTGATAGATATCGCACAAATCACTTTATGCATGATTTTAAGTTCAACAACTGTTTTTGCAATGACAAAAGATAGTCCATGATATCTAACACCAAATATCACAAAACGAAAAATAACCATGAAACCTCATTGTCAAAGTTCCCTTATGTACATTTTAATTTCCAGTACACTGAAAAGATGTCAAGATACATTACAAAAGATATTGTTTTATTGTTTATAGCTGAATATTACAATTATCTTCAGAAAACTATGGAGCTCCTGAAGACCCCCCCCCCGAAAAAATCTTGTACACACAAGTTAATTCAAAAGTTATGAACTTGTGCACACACATAATATCCTTTGTTTTATAATGTTTTTGGACAATATTATTATTATTATTATTATTTTTTTTTTTTTTAATTTGGGACTTCAGGGACACCATAGAAAACCAGTGATTCTCAGAAATATGAAATGTGTCAGTGCTTATGTAATGGCTTTTTATTTCTTGCTCTATGCTCTCAGTTCTTGTGCACTCGAAGTGGGTCAGTGCCCTATTGTGGCCATGATGAGAACTGCATACATTTCTCAAACCAGCTCCATTAGGGTGTCAGTAAATATTTTACAAATCATTAAAAGGGCTGACTTGTCAGTGGATTCAGTCATGATAATACCAGAAATGTGTATTTGGCATGTGGTAACAAATCATAATGATTAAAAACCAAAACAAATATTAGGAACTATGTTAATACTTACAAAAAAATCACATTTTATTTGTTTTCTGATTTATCTAAATTCACCAAATCCAAGTGTTTTAAGACCATAGTTTTTCAGGCTGTGCTGATTTCTCTTTTGAGTAAACTGTATCTGTAAACTCACTGGGGCATGATGTGACTTTGGTATACAGCTTTGATATAATCAATACTTGCCCAGTGTTTCAGATCTATAGGCTCACAGGCATGCATCCTACAGTATATATAACTCAATGACGTATACGTCCTATTTTCTCCAACATCCAACTTACAATGTGGAACCCCAGTGGATTATTGGAGTCGCCCCAATGGAAAGAATTGTTAAGAAACCCTCTGCAGAGTTATTCCGTCTGGACCAATCTGAGCAAATATTTTCTAATATGGATGACGGCGGCCTTCTTTTGAAATGGACTGCTGAGTAGTGAGGCTCTTTCAGAAGCATTGGTGCCGAGGTACTGAGGGGGTAGGGTGTTGGGGGGCTAGCACAGCTGAATCTGCCACGTTTGATCCTATAGATAAGAGAGGGAGAGTGGGAGCCTGGGCCGCATAGCTGAAGATCTTGGAGTGTCTGGGTTTGCCCTGGACTGGAAGAGAAAACAAGAGGAGCCAGGACATATTTCTATGTCTGTGTGAAACTGTCTCTCTGTCTCACATTCTTATACTCTGACTCCAAGAGACACTCTGACTCTGTCCTATGCTGGGGTTGACAATCAAAACACCTTTCTTAACCTAACACTTGACACATGAAATAACAGCCCTGGTCAGAAGGTCATTATTTCTTAAATTCAGGACTCACATTTGGTTCACTATTTCATCACTTATTCCTCCATCATAACCATCTTTTAACAGTGCCTCCATCTGAATTTGTTTCCTCTTCCCTGTCCTCCCTTGTTTCTGTCTTTTGTCAGGTACCAAGACGTTCGATCCCTGCAACCATGTCCGAGCCTACCAGTACTACAGCGAGAGTATTGTTAAACCCCGGGGCTTTGTAGGATTCCCCTGCTCTGACAAGGACAGTTTTGCTAAAGTAAGACTCTTTAGCCTGTAACTTTGACATTTTATTTCCTTCATTGTTGTTGTTGCTGTGGCCTGTTCAAGTCTTTTTCAAAAAGTGAACATGGTGGTCAAAATGTGTGTTTTTTAAAGCAATGGTCGGATCAGCTTGTATTGATTTATTGCATCCTTCCTGAGCTACTTAATACATTGTAAAATCATAATAGCCCTCATCATACATTTGATCATTTTATGTGCAGATGTTAACCTGTGAAGTAATTCCATCAGTCTGATTATTGTAATGGAGTTAAGGTGCAATATTTCCCTCTGGACTGTCGCGTAGTCGTACTGAGAAAAAGAAACTTTGAATCAATGTATTGTTGATTTTGATCAAACCTTGAAAATGAGGCAGTGTTTCAGTGTTTCAGTGTTCCCTGGGATAGACATACCTTTAACACCACAACATTAGTAAAATGAATAGAACTTTAAAAGTTATCCCATTTTGAAATATGTTTCACATTAGGGTTAGGGTTAGGGTACAGTAGTGTGATAAGATAAACTGTCTTTGTTAAGTAAAATCTCAGGATTGAACATAATACTAGTCCATTCTTTCTTGTCCGGGGGGGCTGCAATATGCTCTGGTAATAAACAACTGGACTTAGCCAGACCTTAGGTCAGTAGTTTCAAAACGATTAGCAGCTTGCCAAAAGCATGTCAAAGTTTACCAAAGCTGGCGTGAAGATCTATGCTGATATGCTTCATGTCTAGAGCAGCTTTTTAGGATCCCTGCTGTGAGTCTGGTTGTAGACTGTTGTGGGGGGGTTGGGGAGGGGGGGGGGGGGTCTGGATGGAATCTTATGTCCTCAATTAAAAAAGTGACTCAGTCCTGTCAGATGGGCTCAGACAAGAAAGGGGGCTGGAGAAGGAGAGGAGGCTCATATCTTCACCATCCCAGCATGTGTTTGGAACTGCCACCTGTTGCTGTATGACACTGATATGTCTGTGAAACTTTTCCTTGGTTTTAGAAGTTGATTCGGCAAGATTGGATTTTTGTCGCGGTGGAGGAGGGTGATGTAAATGGGCTTCCCTCATGTCTTCCTCGGGGAGGGCTTGTATCTGCAGCTGTCGGTGTTAATGACAGTTTATCCCTGCTTTGGACACATGTCCCCGATCAAAGGAGGCCCGTGGAGTGCTGAGCATGACCTCATATGACTATGTCCCTGTTGAGAGATGACAGCACCTCCTTGTCGTTCACCTCATAAACGCTCCCTGGTGTTATTCCTGCAGCAATAGCTGACAGCCGCAAAGTCAGCCTGTTCCCACACACTAAGTTATTGTGATTCTCCACCTTCATATTTGTAAGGTGGCAATCTGCAACATTTTCAAGGAGTATATGAAGGAAAGTGTTCTATGGTTGACACTTTTCACAGCCTATTCATTGACAGGAGAAGACTCTTACACTCCATCATACAGGAGGCCTTTCTTTACACCTCACTATGTCCTTGTCTTCACAGGGAAAGTGTTTCCCGTGCACAGACAAGTGTCCGATGATGGGCCACTCTGCTGACAAGTTCACTTTGACTGATGGCTTTTCCAAGACAAAGTACTTCCTCAACACTGGGAAAAGAAATCCCTTTGGCAGTAAGTACCCTGTCCTTCTTGAGTGGGCCAAAATAGAAGTGTGACTTACACATTTTAAACGATCTCACCTTTTAGATTTGACTGTGAAAAACCACTGAAACTTGATTTTAATGGGCTTATTTAACCCTATACAATTTGAGCAAAGTCAAAAAGGATTGTCATTCACCAAAAAAATGTAATCCTGACTAGTGAACGTGTCAGAGTAGTGCAGAGAACATTCAGTGCTGTTAACTTTGTCTGGACCTCTAGGTCAACCAAACTCTAGTATATCTGGGTTTCACATTTTTGGCATTGTACTTTTAGCTCCAGAAATAAGCAGGGCTCACTGACGATGTGCATGTGAATCATGCTCCACTATTCTTCTGTTATAATTAACTGTAGGTTACAACTCTCTGGACTACTTAAAAAAATACCTGAAGGTATAAACCCTGTTTGTTTTTAAAGTGACATTTAAATAAAGTAGACCTCGACCTCGACCTCGACCTCGACTGTGTATAGCCAGTGAATAAAGTCACTTATAATTCAATCTCATAATTCCTATTCATGTAAAATAGTGTTATTATCATCTGGTGAAATAATGTGACTACCTACTATGTTTACCTCTGTCTAGCTTATAGCTACAAAATATTGGTAACCCTTGATGGTCCCAGCTGGCCTCAACAAGCCTTTATGTTTGTGGCGCTTGCCGGAATGGAGGACAGCACCCAGGAGTACCAGCTTCACGTGTAAGAACATTACGACTTTGTTATTTTCAAAATATGGAGGGTTTTAACCAATATGCCTTCAGTGGAGGGGTAAAGATGCTGAAAAGGGTGTTAAATATTTTACAAAATCCAGAATATATAGACTGACTACTAAAAGCATTTATATAAGCCTTCCTAATGAAAAATGATCTTCTTTGGTCTGTTCAATGAGCTTTTCAACTTATGGACCAAGTAGGAAGTCCAGGCCATATTCTTCTCCATTTAGTTGTTGCAGTAACTAATACATATTGAGAAATAATCCTTCCATTTCAAATTCACACATACTAATATATTCATCATACACATAATCAGTCACAGAATTTGACCACACATGTGATAAGTGAGCATCATTTAACTACCAGACTCTGATGTAATACTGGTGCTCAGATTATACTGTCGAGGCGAGACATATTTTTCAAAGAGAAATACAACAGTCCCTTAAGACAGTCCACTGTTGTAAATCAAATTTCCCTTCCAGGTACAACAAAGGTATGAACTGAACTGAAAGTGTGTTCAATTGTTACATCCCTCCAGGGGTACCATGAGGCCAGGACGGACCTACGAGCTGATGATAGACGCTGAGGTGGATGTGGGTGACGTGACAGAAGTGAAGTTCCGTTGGAACAACCATATCCCTAACATGCTGAATCCAAAGTATGGTGCATCCAAGGTGGAGCTGCAGAGGGGAAAAGACAACAAGATGTAAGTTTTTCACATCTGTAAACATGTCAATACTCCATTTTCCTTATTGTAAGATTAATAGCTTTTAAATCGTGTAATCAATGTTATTTAACGTGAGGAGACCTAAATCAGTGGTACTACACTTTTGATCCACTTTATAAATAAATAAATAAATTTAACTATTATTTCTGTAAAGAGACCTTTCCTTTTGTTATTTAATAATACAAAAAAGCAGGTAGAAGACCTTACTCATTGCTTTGTTCCAAAATAAAAATGGGATGCAGAAAGGATTTCTCCTTAATATAACCTTTTACAACAAATAGGTATCTTTTATTTGATGTGTCAATTTTTTGAAATATTTAATGTGAAAGTTGTTGGTGAAATCTGTGCTAAAGCTTTTACACATTTCTGAATTCATTCTGATTCAGAGAAACAAATATTAGCATGACGAAGTTATAAAAAGTATGAATAAGAAGTACGTATGTAAGAGCAAGCATCGAGCTTCATGCATGTTCATTGTACTGAAATATCTTCATGCTTAAGATTTTAAAAATAGAAATAATAACAGAAATAATAGAATATATACAAATATGAAAATGTACATACTTTTGAATTTAATAATTAGAAAGTGAAGTTTATCTTTAGTGTCTTTTAATTCAATGTGATTAACAGTCTAAAGCAGAGTTTAATTTTGTCTCTGAACAGGTGAGTTCATCCATAAAACGTTAATTTCACTGAGAAGTAAAAGCAAAACAAATGTCATGTCAGGTCTGTTGTGTTACTCTGCATTAGTTTTTTCAGGTTTACTTAAAAAGAGCAAATCACCAACAAAGAAACAGACGTTTAGTTTTATGGTAAATTCCTTAAAACTGATGAAAAGCTGTGTCCTGTAGTCAAACTGCAGCAGATTTCTGTTCAAGCACTGCCATAGCTCCCTGACTTTGCCACTAGAGGGCAGCATGGGACTACACCTGGTGCCCTCTAGCGGTTAGGGCAGCATTGTGGTGAAATTTAGTCCCTGATGCATGGTCTTTATAATGTAGTCTATCAAAAATGAATAGAATCAAAGTGATGGGGCCAGGAGGTTAGCTTGTGTTCAATCAATACTGTAAATATAATGTACCATTCATGTTCTCTCTTTTTCTCCTCTCAAAGCTCCTTCTTCTGTGGAACAAAGAATGTAGCAGAGAACACGATCCAGTCTGTGCTTCCATGCCAAGCTTAATCTGCTACAATCACCTTGTAACTCAGGATCTTTAAATAAAAGTTTTGCATTCAAACCTCTACAGCTCTGTCTGTGATCCTCTGTTGCTGTGCAGGATGTAGCAGTGTCATAAAAAATTAGACAAATTGAGAAATTGTATTTCTTTAAGAAACTAGACAGTACAGAAGAAAATGTGTTGTTTCAGTGACGGAGCCGAATTAAAGTGGCTTCCATGTGTGTACTCATCTAAGGGATGAGGAATTATGAAATGACAAAGAGATGCAAAATTATTACAAAGAGAAAGAGGTAACTCGGGGCGGCAGTAGCTCAGTCCGACTAAAGACTCAGACTAAATCTGGTAGCTGGAGAGGTGCCAGGGCACTTCCCGAACACTGTCGAGGTGCCCTTGAGCAAGGCACCGAACCCCCAACTGCTCTGGTGCGCTCTCTGGACAGCTTGTAGCAGCCCCACTCTGACATCTCTCCACCAATGCATGTCCACAGGTCCTGTTTGTGCATGCTTGTGATTCAGGCCTATGTGTGTGAGAAGCATGTCCCTATAAATAACCCGAATTTCCCTCAGGGATTAATAAAGGATATAAAAAAAACAAAACAATTCAATTCACATTTATTGATCATATACACAATACATCATGCAATGTGTTGTGAAATGTTTTTTGGTACCTGTTCAGTCAAGAGATATAAACGCTATATATGAAATAAGTTTGAAATACAGGAAAAACCTCTCAAGAGTATAATAAACATTTACATTAAAATGTAGAAATATGAGACTAAGAGAACAAAATACATGATCTACATTATGATATAATATGGGGCTGCACAGTGGTGCAGTGGTTAGCACTGTTTCCTCACAGCGAGAAGGTTCTTGGTTCAAATCTTCATCAGACAGTAGCCTTTCTGTGTAGAATCTGCATGTTCTCCCCATGCTGCATGCGTGGGTTCTCTCCGGCTTCCTCCCACAGTCCAGCGGCATGCTCGTTAGGTTTAGGTTAGGTGACTCCCGTAGATGTGAACATTTGAACAGTGGAGGGTTTGAATGGCTGATTGGGCAGTGTAAGCAAAGCAGGACAGAACTATATAATCGGAATTAGGATGGGTGTTACAATCGGCAGATGTAACATTGTTGGTATTTGTAAATGAAACAGGACCCAGTATTGAACCTTGTTGAACCCCCTTTGGCAAATTAAACGATTTTTACCCAACATCACACACCGCTGACTCTGTGGCAGGAAGTCCTGGAAACATTTACAGAATACAGACTCAAAACAGAGCACACTTAGCGTCAAAAGAAGCAAACCATGGTCAACAATATGAATAGCTTTTGTTAAATCTACAAAGAGAGCAGCACAATGATTCCCTTTGTCAACAGAAGAAATTATATTATTTGTAACAGATGTAATAGCAGTGATACTGTGGTTAGCTCTGGAGCCAGATTGATGTGGATTTAAGACATGATTACTGGAGAGAAATGATTAAGAAATTATAAACAAAAGTATAAGCATGCATGTGTTCATAGTGAGTCCTGGAAGCTTTTTAATGAAAAACAAATAATTAGACACCAACAGATTGGTTATGTTAAGGGTAACTAAACATTTATTTTTATTAAAGTCAGTTTGATAATTTGTTGATGGTTTTAGACTTTTGAGTCTAAATTCTGGAACACATCTTTAACTGCAGGCTTTCAATTTCAAAAGAAAAATCTACGTAGTAAAATGAGCATTCACATAAATTCACTTCAAACCATCCCTGACAACTTCATCACTTTTTATAGCACCTCATTACAGCAGTGTTATTACTGTCACTTTAACAGGCTCAACAGCAGCAGCAGTACTATGAGGGATACTTCACATGTCCGGCTATTAGCGTGCCTTGTCTTTCTCATCACAAAGCTTATCCTCACTGCCAATGCCTGTCAGGACAAGAAGAGGGTAAATATTACCCTTATTAATGTTGAAAGACATCAGGCTCCATTTGCGCAAACACAAATCAACAGTAAATTACATGGTGAGATCACAGCTTTCTCCTACTCATTTGGATACAGAGTGTACCCGCACAAAATCATGTCTAATGCATCACATATATCTGTAATTTAAAAAAGGTCTTTGCATATGTGTACGTGTGTGTGAAAATGTGTCTGTGTGTGTGTGTGTGTGTGTGTGTGTGTGTGTGTGTGTCTGCAAAGCACTTATTAATCTGTCTTTGGCCTTTTGCTGGCTTATGAAGTCCTGATTGTGTGTCATTGTTTTGGCTTCATTTATTTGAACACACACCCCGTAATCACGCTTGCAAATACACAGCTTTAAAAAGGCGAGCTGCCATTTTCATCATGCCACTAACAAAATGCATTTGAAATCACTCTGACTTCCTCTAAGCTGAGCCATCAGCGCTCACACAATACAAATCAGAAGAAAAAAAAACCTCCCAGCATCAAAGCTTCAAGCTTGACTACATTAATAATATTAATAAAACAGCAAATTGAATGTGTGGGCTACAAGGTGGGGGGGAAAGTGTCTTGAAATCCTCTAAAGACACCCGTCTTTGTCTCTGACTCTTGTTTCTCTTTTCATTATTGGCTCATTGAAAGTGAAGGCTAATGACAAAATAGGGACTAATTCCTGTAATTATGTGTGTTTGTCAGAAGAAATTTTCAAGTGACAGCGCTTCTTTTTCTGATCTTTAAGCCAGTAGCTTTGGGGGTGCCATTGTTCCAAACAAAGCCTTGATAAACAGGTCATAAATTAGCGAGGTATGGAGATGTAGGTGGCAAGAGAGAAACAGCTCCACTGGGGAGTGCTTGCACAACAAACTTAACCCCTAGCCGTTAGCTTGCTATGTTGTATTGTTCTCAAGAACAATTCAGCAAGAACGGAGACATGTGATGTTGTTGCAAAGACAAGAGCGAAAGCAAGAATTGAATGTCCAACAACAAGGATGAAACACAAAATGTCAAATTGTGTTTAAAACTAAAGACACAACAGTGAAAGGAGCAGGACAGAGGCGAAGTATTGGTTGTAAATGGTTTTAAGGATTTCTTTTGTCCAGCGTCTGTCTGAATCTGTCACATAGAGAGGGTTTATTCTGACTGACCTTCAGAAAATGATGAGTTGAATTCTACAGTATTCGTTTGACCTTCATCATAATGGATTCAGCAGTAATATGAGAGCACACAAAGGAATCTATTCTAGTGAGCAGGAGGGAGGTTGAATAGAGGCAGCTGGGTCACACGGTCGCTGAAGTCTTATTAAAGCACAAGCCAACTTTTTTGTTGGCTTAACAACAGTTCTAGGTTTCCACTGCAATCACAGATGAAGCTCAGTTTGATATTTAAAACATTCTTTGAGTATTCTTAGATTGGATTTGATTGCTGCCCTTTTCACTGTGTGCTAATCATGCTACCTCCCCAAGGTGTATGAACCAATTCTAAATTCAAGTAATGTCCTGTTTCTTCAAAAATACAGGAAACACACCTCTTTATATATTTCTATAATTAAATAATATGTTTTTTTTAAATGTACTGTAAGTCTTTTTTACAGTGTTTCTCTTGTAAACACTGTAGCATGTAGGCTAATTTATCATTTTTTGTTAATGATTTGGAAAGGGGAGGAAGATTTTGTTGTGTTTGGTTAGATATACTTTATTGCATTATAATACTTTTTTTTCTGGTAGCTTTTTAGCTCTGAACAGTGTTCAGGGAACCTTTTTTTTCTTTGAGTAAAGTTTATGTATTCAGTATAGAAAATATAGCAGAGAATTGATTCACTCCAACTATCAAATTTCACCACCAAAACTCCATAGTGCACCTTTAATGATACAATTAAGATCATTCTTATGAGATTTAATTTCTAACCAACATTGAGACCAAATTCATTCATTCATTCATTCAACATTTATTTTAACCTCGAGAGATCAATGATTTACAATGATGTCGAGAGTAGGCTATAATCAACAAATAACATAAGAACAGAATTATATTTAATCATGTTTGTAAATTGAGCCATAGTATGGTAACAATTGAATAGAGTTTTAATGAGTGTTTTATTCTCCCAGGTGTGCTGCACAAAGGCTAAAGGTTGTTTTCCTCATTTCAGTGTTTGCTTATAGAACTTTCTGTGCATGTTGATTTTTTTAAAGAGATGTTAACTTGATCTTTGTCTATAAACAAGGTTTAGGGACTGTTTAAGCAATTCAGTGCTCTGCCCTCACACAGACAGGGCTCTTGGTTTATGTTTTTGGCATGCTGCAAAAAGGCTCTGGGGTAGGTACTTTCAAAATGTTCTGGACCTTTGGGATGGGGCCTTCAGGACTGAAAATTCTCTTATTAGTTGAGTATTAACAGCTTTTCATTCAACTTTTTTTTTGTTTGTTTTTTAATTCGCAGCCTAAGCTAATACGTGGTTTTTGTGAATTGTGCATCAACACATTTTCAGAGTTGCTGAAAAACCATACCACATATGGACGTGATGTTTCAGTCAAGCACAAACTCATCTCAACTCAACTCAACTCAACTCAACTCAACTCAACTCAACTCAACTCAACTCAACTCAACTCAACTCAACTCAAGACAAAAGACAAAAGTACATCCAAAAAGCCAACACGGTCAACATGCAAGAGGCACTGAATATAGCAGCCTTCGAGAAACAACAACATTGAGGTTAGTCCTTCACTTTCTTTGGCATCATCATTTTCATTTTTAAAAATGTTATCCAAATTATTTGCTGAACTTTTAAGTTCCTGGAAAAGAAATTTGAGGGACTAAAAGTTCTGCGTACTTTTGGTGGGAGAACAACATTTGGTATAGTGTAGTTTTGTATGCCACGTCTGTTTCTCCAGTGAATCACCAGGATCTCTGAAACACAGGAGTTGCAGAAAGCATACAATATTTTTAACAGTCTGAAAAACACAAAATTCCGGTTGGAGTTTGCGGCTGCCCTCAGTCTGCTCATTTACTCAACACCAAAATGAGACTGTGTGTTCGTTCGTTTGTGTGTGTGTGTGTGTGTGTGTGTGTGTGTGTGTGTGTGTGTGTGTGGGTGGGCAAGGGTGTGAGTGTGTGTGCATGTTAAGTGTTCAGGCGTACCTTTACACCTGAACACTTAAGAAGGTTACACAAATATTCAATTCAAACAAACAAATTTTAATGAACTTACATTATGTCTGTTTTCATCCAAGTGAAGCTTTAACAAGCACAAAGTGTGTCAAGCCCCCTGTTATGGTCCCATGATTTCATTGGTTAGTGGTGGAGCTCTGAACTCTGCTATTAACTGGAAGAGAGCGAGTATGTGGGAGGGCAGCCGAGCCGACAAGTAAAGAGCCACTTGGAGAGTTTGGGTCCCTCCAGATTGCCGTAGCAACTATTCTACTTCATAGCTATTTGAGGGAAACCAGCCACACCTATCCAACCCTCTCAACATGTCTCCACAGTCCCCTTCCCCTGACCCTAACACGCACACACACAGCACATCCAAGCTAAAAACAACCTTACCCTGTAAAGGGTTGAGTGGCTCTCTACCACCACTTCTGTAAGAATAATACACTCACTGCGTAAATGTATTCTGGTTACTCAATAAGTGCCTGTGTTTAGTTTCATATTCCACCGGGTGATTCACTGGTGGGGGTGTTTGAGGGGAACTAAAAGAAAAAAAAAACTTTAATGGAAAATTGTTCTACGGTGGGATTTTTTTGCCTATAATGTCTGATTCAACACAGATGAAAAAAAAGGTAACATGTAATCCTACACAGAGTGGACTGCCTTGAAATCAAAAATACTAGATCTAGTTTCACAATCATTCCAAACATGAGTTATTGAGAAAAAAAGATGCGTTTACCACTTCAGTGAAAAAAAAAATCCTCTGAAGAGTAAATTAGGCAAACACAAAAATACTTGATTACTTCCTTAGCAAAAGTATATCAAGGTCATATTTAATGTACAACAACTGCCTTACTCACTATCAATAAGTAATAATTAATAGAGCATTGAATAAGTTACTAATAAGCGACCAGTATGCTACTAATTAGCATGCTAAGAAGCAACTAGTTCCTGTTTTTGGTGTAGCAACTGTAGGTTGTATTTCCCCAACTGGACAAACTTGAACCAACTGGTTTTTGTAACGAGAAAAAACCGAGAGTCCGGACACCCTGAAGAAGGCTGTTTGTGCAGCATCGCGTGGGAGGTCACCCAGCTTTTTAACGACCTGCCTATGTTTTTAACACTTCTATGATGAAATAGCCAAGTTGTTAAAGGCTTTTATGATGAAATATCCAATTGAAAAAAGGCTTTTAACTTTTTCAGAAGCGTGCCTTGGTTTCACCTTTTTGGTGTTTGTAGCTGTTGTTTTCCTAAAACTTTTATCTCCCCGTGGTGAAGTTGGTTGCTGGTTTGTGGTGAAGGCTATAGACACTCTTGGTGGTTCCCTGCAACGTTCCTTGTACACCTGTTTACTGCGTTCAGGCGTGCTGCGTAAGTTTCACTCCCAGAACACAGCCGTGAAAGTAAATTGTAATAAAATGAATGATTTTTGATTGACTTAATTGCAGCTATATAACTAATACAACTCTCTCTAAAGATGTTTCCATTCCACATAATGAAACATCAATTAATGAACATGTTCTTTTGGAAACCTTGCCTTTGCCTGTGTATGATCAAGGTGTTAATATTATGTATTTCCTGAGGTTAAATTCCTCTGGTGGTGGGTTAGTAACATTGGGGTTGTAATGTTACTTCAGTTCTGTGATGCTGATACTTGTGAATAGGCTGTATTCTTTTGGTGAATGATAAATGGACTTCAGCGTGTATAGCGCTTTTCTAGTCTTCTGACTAGTCAAAGTGCTTTAACACCCCAGGTCACACTTACCCATTCACACCCTGATGGCAGAGGCTGCTGAGTAAAGTGACCATCACCACCATAAATGTCTTGCCCTACTAAGCATCAGACATCTTGCTGCAGAAGCTGGGGATCAAACCTTCCAGAGCAATCCTTCTGGTTGAGAGATGTCAGATTCCACCAACGGAGATACAGCAGCCTGCAGAGGTTGTTTTTACAACAAAGAGGCAATTCAATTCATCATTTTTGGTTTTACTATTGTTGAGATGTAATAAGCAGTTGTGTTAAAAGGAACTGAATTTGCAGTAAGGCGGCTACATCAAGCTTCTCCTGAGATTTAATGGAAGGAGCATGTAGCTACGAAACTGAAGGAAATCTCTTCATTAATTGCATTAAAACGACACTAATGAGAGAAAGATACATTCCATGACATTACGTTAACATGCACATTACTTTAACTGAATGGATCATTTCATATTTGACAGTAATATAGTAACAAACATGTGTTGTGAAAATATTTAAGTAGGTAATTGTATGCAAATGTTTTTGGACACTTCCTTACCATAGCTTTTCATTTCAAACGCAATTATTTTAGTATTGTTTTGAATTAATCCAATAAAGATATACTTATTTTGCTTATTTTATTTATCTATTGTAATGTTTTCATGAGTATATCTGAATTCTAATTTCTATTTAATACCTCTTTTTTATTTTACCATTTATTATTTAAAAAAAAAAAAACTTTAATTGAATCCACTTGGTGGCAGTGTTGCCTCACAAAAAATCCTTCACCTTTTGGGACTTCAGTCAGTGACCCAGTTCTCTTTCTTCAGGTAAACCAGAAATTAAATGTGTGGTCCAGTTTTGAGGATCCAGATTGAATACTATATAAATTGATACATTTATTTGGCAAACACATGATGATGGATTTACATTTATATAAACCAACCAGGTTTTAAGCACCTGCTGTTTACATTCAATATTTGGTGGCTCTCATTTTTTACTCATTTGATCTTTATGTTCAATGGAAGCCATTACAAATTGAATGTTCAATTTCCAAAAACAAGAAAATACTGTAATACAAATGTCATTGTGTTAGAATAGAAAAGAATAACCTACAGTTTCTCTGCTAATAAAAGTCTTGAAGATATATATCAGATGTTTTGTACTCATGACCACATTAATTATTAAACCCCTGCAGCATGTAGCTATCAAAGTGTTTCTGAGAAAATGCTTAGAGCCTGCTCTGAAATGAAAGTCAAAGTAAAACATCTTCACTGTTGACTAAGAAAAGAAGACGACACAAATCCTATTCTTTGAAATACACGTACATTTTATTGGTGACAATCTGACAGTGAATACCTGGCATTGATCAAAATACACCCATTATTGTGTGGAAACTGCAAGAGAACAAGACATTATAGTAGATCATAAAAAATAGAAACAAAACTACTTTGCGTCGTCGATAAAGAACTAAAAGAACAAAGTGTACATTGTGTTGCGTTTCAGAGAGGCAGAGGTTGTCCTAACTACAAGCTCAATCATTTTTTAGCTTTAAAATCTTCTCAATGATTGTAGAGTTTATATATTGTTGCGCAGATACTTTAACAAGATGCAAGCTGGCTAGACTGCTACCTCAAAACGAACCCACCCAAAGCACTCGACTTGAGACTCAAATGTCAGAAATGTGACATCTTACCCCCAATGTCAAAGGGTGTGAATCCAGCACCAAGGATCAAAGTTCCATTTGAGCTAAACACGTCTTCATATAATTTGACCATATAGCTTTGATGAAAGCTGCTACATAATGGTATCCTGTGCATCACATATTAGTCAAGGTAGCACAAAATACATGGTAATCATTTAACCAAGGAAACAATGTGGTGTTAGATTCAATCCTTCCACTTGATATTTTGTGAGTAAAGAGATGTGAAGAAGTAGTGAAAGGTTACTAGGTTAGTTAACAGTTAAGTAGGTGGAGTGCTGCCCTGCTGTGGTAGTTATGAGCTGTTATTAGCATCAAGTCCATCAGCTCAGGAAGCAGCGAATGTAACACAAAGCCCAGCCCGTCTCCGACTCTGTGACAAGGCTGAGGAGAACACAGTTTATTCCAGAAAACTCAAAACACCACCACCACCATCATCATCATCAGTGGTAAACCTTGGTTTCGTGTATGAGTAATAGCGATTGACCTGTTGCTCGTTGTCTGTTGTTAAGTCATTCCTATGTGACACATGCGAAACATGCATTGCAGAGACAGTGCCGAAGACAGCAACTTGTGCAACTCTGTACACTGACACTGAAAAGCCCGAGCTGTAATTCACAGTTTAAAAAAAAAAAACAATCAAAGAAAATGGCTTTAAAAGAGGCTATATAATAAAATTGTTTTATTAGGATTTGAAGATTCCCCTCTCTCGAGCCAAGCAACTGAGAAACCTACAGGTGGTAGGCTTATTAAATATGTGTCATGATATTTTTTCCTTCATACATGTCATCTTGAGGCTATAGCTCCATGCAGCTAGTGTTGGAACTTGTGGAAAAGTCTTGTAAACAACGTCTGCCTCCTCAATTTAAGTTAGGATGTGGCTATTCTTCTGGACTGGTGTATGCAGTGAACTGAAAGAACCCCAATATATAACTGCCATATATATATCGTCGATGAGATGCTGGACACACTTTGCAAGCTTAAGGAGCTGAAGCAGATGAAGGGACCCCGTTATACCAGCGTTCATGACGAGGACGTTTTGGAACAAAATCATATCGTTTCCAATGGAATCCGGTCAAAATGGAATTAAAAATCTGAAACTAATCAGGTTGTATTTTGGTTGTATCCTTCATGGCCTCAGTATGCCAAAACTAAAAATGCATTGCATCTACTTTGGTCACTCCATGAACTCTATGAAGCCGCCGTCTGACCATGAATCAGCAAATTGCTAATATGTGGGAGGTTCCAGTGAAAAAAAAAAAAAAGGCAATCCTCTATCCTGATACATGAGATGTGATTGTAGGGTATAGAAGTGTTCACGTAAATAGTCCAACAACTAGAAATGTGGTTGGAGTAGAGAGTTGCTATGTTGCTATGTTGCTATGCGTACTCGTCCAGACAGACATTTCGAGATATTACTTAAAAGCTGTATTGTTGTTCTATGAAAGCCAACCGGTTCCAGGATGCATTTAATGCCTTCCACCTCTATAGAATAAATTAGTTTCCTGGTTTAAGACCAACAAAGACCAACAAAGGACAGAGCTCTGATTCTCTGCAGAGTTTGAGGAGGCAGCAGCTTACTCCAGTTATTGTGAAGCACACTCTCATCTTCACACATAAATCTGCACCGTTAACATGAGCAAAGTGTTTGACAGCGTTAACATCTGGATGAACAAAACACAGCAGAACCTCAGAATGAAGGAAGATATCATATACATGTTCATACATTCCTGTTTGATACAAGCTGGCTGTCAAATACCAATGAATGAAACTAGCAACAACCAAAGCGAGCGATTCATATGATGTGGTCTTTACATCAACAGGCAGGGAGAAAGGATTAAGAGAGTCCATCTTCAAATGTAGTTGCAGTTTCTCTATAGTGGCAGCAAAGGTTAAGAAAACACATCACAATAATGCCCCTATAAATCAGTCTGTGAAGGTCTTATTGACTATGTCGATGACGCGCTGCCTTTGATGAATTCACAATAAGTGTGACGCTCAGTGATTACTTCTGAACTCACACTTTCATCTAAAGCTATTTGAAGAGGGACAATGGATGAACTGTGCGCTCTGATCTGATGGTGTGAGTGAGTCTTGACATCACTTTTAAAAATCATACTAGGCACTCTTTAATTAAGACCTTCATTATCATCTAGTGGCTTTTTCTCTTGATTATTGCTAAAGCGTCCTTGTTCTTTAGTGCAGGAATAATAGCTTCTGCTAAATTGAATGGCTCAAGTTCTTCTGTTGTATGTTGAACATAACTGTCTAAATGTCTCCATGGTAACAAAGTAATGAATGTCAATGAAAAGTCCACAGAAGTTGCTCTGCAGGTGGGATGAAAAAGGGGATTGGACACATTCAGATACTGCTACAGTTTCACAGATGACTGATAACAACTGTTAATATAGACTGAAATGCTTTTTTTAAGGACGGAGGTATTCAAGTTTCTTTTGTGATTGCAAAAAAGAGCAACAGGCAAACACATCCAATCTCTCACTCTCTCAACGAACGCAGCAATCAAACGTGCCTCTCGTGCAATGGCTGGTGAGAGAAAAAATGTTGAGAGATGGTCCATGTGGAAGCACACATACACACCCACGCACACGCACGCATAAGCACACACTCTTGGCTCGAACGCTGCTGAAACAAAGCTAAAAAATCTGTACAATATTTAAATACTGTATTTACAGAAATAAACACACGTCATCGTCTGTCACACTTGGCTTCAAAATATTCAAGTGGGCGACTGACCTTCTGTCCACAGCATGTTAAGAAGCTGAAGCAGGAACAAAACAAAGGCAACTGTAAAGCGCAATTGATGATAGCCGTACTTGTTAGAAGACTGAGCCTGCAGCGCGCTTCACATTCAGTTTTAATTATGGGCAACCTCTAAGGAGCCAACCGGTGGTTTGGCCTGATGTGGCCTTTGATTGGAGATACAATGTTTCACATAATTGCTGATGATTCTCCAGAGCATGCCATCAGTTTTCAGATTGATTTCCTGTCTTCAAGGTAGCGTTGCATATCTGCACCCGGGTCGTAGCAAATGATAGGATTTAGTATTTAAGCACTAAAAAAGTATGACAATTAATAGGATGTGGTGATATTGAAGTAGGTCATTTTATCAATGTCAAGTAAGGGTGTCATAAAGAACTAGTTTTGAAAGGAGACTCTAGTAAAATATGATGAAGTTTGCTTTCGAGTTGCAAAGCTTGTTTCCCTCAAAAACAGCACAAGGTGTTTGAAATGGCCTACAGATCAAAGTTATCTCTGCATAACTGTAAAGCTGAACAGGCTGTGTTGCTAACAATCCTTCTGATACATATTTTTTGTGTTAATGATGTGTAAAATGTGTGATATCATATGTTACATGTAAGAGAACTCGCACACAGATTTCTTCAGCTCTATAGTGGATTTCAGCGTTGTTTCTTTGGTTCAGAGTCACAGCTCCAGTCATTCTGTCTACAAGCAGAAGCAGCAGCTGTCTTAAGTGGAAACAACGATCTGATAAAGCAACTATGCACTTCCTGACCTGTATCAGAGAGCAGGCAAACACAATTAGAGACTACAGCGCAAGTTACCAAAATGTCCCACAGTAACCTCTGGCTCCTGTATCTGTCCACGGTGGATACACTTCACACAGACAGACACAGCTAGTTCACCTGGAAGTTACTCCATGAACAGACCATATCGTTCTATGATGATCTTTGACATGAAACCTGAAAATTGATGGTATGCTTTGGAAAAAGTCCGGCAGCTGCATGAAGTTGTAAAAGTTTACTCTATTTTTTAAAAGAGCTCAATCATGCAAAACCATGGGTAAGACCTTCAGAACTGTAGTGAGAAAACAGTGATTTAAGTTTGACGAACAGTTTTGAGAAACTTCAGTCGCAGCTCAATGACATGACATTATGACCTTCTGATAGCTTTGTCACAAAGGAATGGTTTCTGCTGAGCACGTTATGGATGAACTGCAGGATCAAGCATTAACAGTGGAATAACCTTTTATCTTAAACCTGACTCAGCAAAGCTGTAACATCAGCATGGTGGTATGTGTTGGGTTATTACGAGTGTGTGAACACAGTGGAGCTCCTCAGCAAATGGACTGCAGGGTCAAGAGTAAAGTGAGGTTACTTCCACTTTAAGTCATTCTGGGTTAATGATGACATTTCACACGGTTTAACATCAGCACTCAAACTGAGAGGGACTGCGCCTTGAGATTCTTTTATTTTAACCACTCTGTCTATCCCAGACATATGTGTGTGTGTGTGTGTGTGTGTGTATGTGTGTGTGTGTGTGTGTGTGTGTGTGTGGAGTAAATTTTCCCTTTCCGATTCTTTTTCAACAACTCTAATGTTCCCTTTTTAATGGCTCAGGAAGTCAATGCTAGCTTTGACCGTGCGTCCAGTGGACACGTCGACCGCCATGGCTCGAATCTCTGTATCGCCAAACTGCATGAGCGTCTGGATCTCGCGGCGAGGCGCCGTGCTTTCCGTTCCGCTCACATCCAAGCGCAGTGTCCCACACTTCTTGACGCTGCTCTCGCTGATGAAGCCCACTTTCTCTCTCTCAGAGCAGTAAACATGGATGACGATAACCTGCTGAGAAGGCTTGGCCGGCGTGTAGCTCCGCTTTACACTCTCACCCAGAGCCACGGACTGATCGGCGGCGATGAATGTGTCAAAGACGTCAGTGCACCAGCGTGTGCCGTCCTTCACCAGCAGCTTATCTGGTGGGTGCTTGCCCTCCACGAAGCGATTGAGGACGCCCACCCCGTACGTGAGGGGGGAACGGCGCACTTTGATGATGCTGGGGTCGAGGCCAAACAGCACGGCGCCTTTCAGAATAGTGAGGCCGACATCGTGAGGGATGATGATGCGGCTGCGACCCTGCAACATGTTCTGGACGGCTTGTTGAAGCAGGGGAGACTCGGCAAATCCTCCCACTAAGAACAGGAACTTGATGTCGCTCACCTCGGGCTTATCAAACAGATCAGCTGGAGGAGAAAAACAAAATCTTATTAAAGTAAACTTAAGACAGGTTGCTTGACTTATAACTGAATTATACACTTTACATCGTTTCATGCTTTTATGATAATTTTAACATTTCACTTGAGGCTGACATAAAATATCGACAGTATTGGAGACGCATTTCAGTTCTTGTTTTTGTTCTTAGAAGCACCACAAGGTTTGCATACTCTTTTGAATGCTTCTCAAATTGAAAGCAAACCCGCACCAGGAAGTCAAATCATAGCTGCACTTCTCTCTTTTAGGCAGAAAGGCTTAAGTCCATTAAACCTGTGATTAAAGTCAAAACCTAAGCGGGATACGGTTAAATGTCGTATTTGTGAACTTCACACTTTTGATCTCTCATTACTGCACCAACATTTGTGCACTGATATCTATATCAGGTACAGCCCTGTAGATTAACATTTGATGTTTGTAACTAATCCAGTACAATCTTATACACTAGCAGAACCAGTATCAGCTCCAATAGACCACCAGGAAACGATAGAAAAAGAACTCAGTAGTTCTAATCTTGACGTTTTACCTAAAATCAGCCAAAGACTCTAAAAATATTTGAGTGGTCAAAACAGGTGTAGTTTCTTTTATTTTAATATCATTACAGGCTGACATAATGGAAAGATGCAGGCGGATATGGTGCCTTTATACCGTTTTTTATATAAAATTGAAAGCTTGAAAGGTTTTTTTCTTTTCACTAATCTTTGCTGCCAATCCTAGAAAGCGAGCAACCTGTGCATGTTGCATGAATAATTCCTGTATTTAACCTGAGTTTGTGTCCAAGTATTTGAGAGATGACTGCGTCAACTTCTCCCTCTGAGAAACAACTTTTATAGAATTAATCAGAATTCAGATTCAGTAAAAATAAACATATAACTCTGACATGTAAGCAGATTTTTAACCTCAATGAGTTTCTCTCCTGGTTAAATATATATATTTTTTAAAAAGCAGTGGGAGAGGGCTTTCAGTCCTCATTGGTGTCCGAATGAAAGTGCTGTTGATTTATTGATAGTGATATCCTTGTGTACATGAAGCAGAGGTGTGCTGCTCATCAACACTTCCTGCAGTGTGACTTGGATGAACATCATCATTATGGTGTTGGGACTCTATCTTAGCTATAAGGCTGTAAATGACTGCACACATGTGATTGTAAAGTGTTGAAGTGTTCAAAAGAACAAAAAAAAAACCTCTTCATAAAAGTTAGTAGAATGAACACACTTATGATGAAGTCGCTGACTGTAGGAAGATTTTTATCTTTTATGTTCTCAGTTCAGTCAGAACCTCGGTCACAGTTTCTTTTGTAGGAACATTTCATACACATTTCATGAGTTTTTCAGTCACAGCGCTCATAAAGGAAAGCCAAACAGGGCGATCCGTGCTAAAGTAATGTGACCTACTTTCCTCTGGTTAAGGAAGTTATGAATTATGTAGGTTGGCTGGTTTAAGGGCGAGACTGGCCCTCTCATTTAAAAACAACAAAACCACATTCCTCAGAATGCCGTGACATTTTCAAAGACTTAATCAAGTTTAGCAGCTGAAACATGAAATGGTATGAAGTGTATGGTTTTATGCAGTAGTTTACTGAAGCTACATTCATGAAACAGTGACTACAAGCTTCATCTTAAAAGCTGCATGTTTTCTGTAGTTTTGAAAAGAAAAAAAAGCTCTGCCTCCTGTGTGTGCTCAGGTGTGAGACATTTAGTCTAATTAGAAGTGACTCTCAATCACCAGCAGTAACGTGCACAGTCACTCACCCCAATATTCACATATATGAAGGCAAAAACACAAATCAAAATACAAATTTGACCGGCAATAGAGAAGAGTCAAAACATATAAGAGATAGGCACACACCTACTTCACGAGATAGTTGGATGTGCGAAAACCTCCTTTTAAAACGTTTTCTGTTGTTTCAAAACGAGCCAATAATGATCATTTGGATTAAAGCCAGCTGAATGAAAACATGTTTGTTGTCCTTAGGATGTCTGTTTAACCACAAAGGGTCGAGAGGTGAGTCTGTGAGGTGAAGTAGTTGTCTTTATAGCTTACTGAGATGTTGGATGATGTGGTCTATGGTTGGCTTGAAGAGGGAATTCATGGCATCTGGATTCATCCTCAGCATCCCCTGAGACGACCATTTCACAAAATCCACACTGGAGGGGAGAGGAGAGAAAATCAGACACATGCTCAGGAATTAATTCTAGAAAACTTGACCTTTCCAACATCAACAAACCAGCAACCATGAAATCTGACTGTGTAGAATATTCTGTTATTATAAAGATATTAATAAGAGAAGTTTTAACTACGGTTTTATTTCAAGGAGTTGATGAACCTCGCCCCTTCTCCTCCAGCAACCAGCCCATTAGTCAGTGTTGTTTTCAGATCTGGAGCCCGGGCTTCATATGCACACTGACATGGATTTATTCTTTGTGAGCTATGACAACATCACCCTGTGTCTGATGGAGTCTGTCTGTCAAATGATCAATCCTAAAAGAATCCATAGTATCCATCTGCTCTGATCCCATGTGTCTAATTCATGAACAGTGTGTGCAAATGCGAGTGTGTAAGTCGCCCATAAGCGAGTGCTGACGTCCGCCCCGTTACAAGTCTTTCCTGCGACACGAGACAGACTGAGTGCTTCCAGTTAGGCGTCAGACGAGTGTCTGGGGGGCACTTGAGGGCTTCAGTTTCAGCCGTATAAACATCTTTAATGTCCCTCACTGTGGGGTAATGAAAAATCCACACAGACATGAGACAGGGCCATTAAGATCTAGACTCCATGACGGTCAGAAAGTCAATCGTTATGAGTGCTTATTGGCCGGAAGTGAAAATCATATCTCCGTTATCTTCTCTGTCTATGCTGTGTTCGTTAATGAAGTCAGGATGAGAACATTACATTTTCAAACAACCGGTCAGCTTATGTTTCTACAATTATCCATAAAACATGTTGTCACCGGGGCGCCGATAGCCTAGCGATTATGTCACATCCACATATACGGACGCTATAGTCCTCATCACAGAGGCCGTGGGTTCTAATCCGACCCTGGCCCTTTGCTGCACACCATCCCCAACTCTCTCCTGCCATGTCCTGTCTCTCTTCAGTTGATTCAATGATTATTATTATTTTTTTTTATTTAACCAGGAAAGAAACTCATTGAGATTAAAAATCTCTTTTTCAAGAGTCTCCTGGCCAAGACAGGCAGCAAAACATTAACAGAGTTTCACACGGACAACGAGCAGCCAAGCATTCAAATACAAAATACATTAGACATTAATAGACAAAAATAAAAAATCCTAACAGCAAATGTTTGTCAAAAATCATCCACAAATACATCAGGAAGAACATCTACAGCCAGATAAGGTACAATAAAGGTAAAAAGGTCAGAAAAAAATCAAACATTTTGTCACCACTCCTCTGTTTAACTTGGTTTAGACACAACCTCAGTCACCAGTAAAGATATTTGATAGCACCAAAGCTCATAAGCTCAACTCAGTATTCAGCTGCTGTATTTGGTCTGCATGTACTCACTTGCTTTTGCGCAGGGCGTGCTCCACACTGTGCCCCCTGAACTTCTTGTAGTAGTCGATGAAGGAAAAGGGCAGGTTAATATTGAGTGGGTTGGTTCTGTCCGGGGCGGCTGCCCTCTTTCGAGACTCAAACGCGATCATCAGGTCCACCCAGGCGGCCGGCCTCTTAATCTTAAATTGGTCAATGAAATCCTGGCCAAAGATCTTACACAGGAGCTTCTCAAACTCATAGTCAATCCCAATAGAGCCGTAGGGACCACCTGGGGAAAGAAGGGAGTGTGTTCGTGAAAGGATAAAAAAAATAAAAATAAGATGCAACCTGAGCATCTTAACAGGGAAGAAGAAGTGATATGTCTTCTTACCTGAGGCCTTATAGAGCTCCTTTAGGTGTCCCTCTGGAAGACGGATCTGATGGACTGTCAGGTCGACAGTCCCCCCGCCACAATCCACCACCACATAACGGTCACCTACACACACAATCATCAAAAATGTATCAGACACGAAGCTGCAGCGCTGCTCTTTTTTTAAAGAAACATCTCTAAAGGAGGCGAGATGTGCCTCTCTGTGACGCTTTAGCTTCTTGAACCAGAGCACGGAGAGAACAGCTGACCTACAGTTCTGCAGCACAAAGGTGAGGAGGTGAAAGAAGAGAAATTGGATGAGTTAGGGAGCGGGGCTTTGGCTTTGGTAAAGACATGATTGTGGACAAAAGCCAGCCGCTTTAGAAACAAAGGATTTACACAGTGACACACATTCAAAGTCAGTTATTTTCTCCTAAATCTCTCCATCACTGTTTTAAGTCTGGATGTGCAGATCTTCTTATTACATTCAAAAGCCAGATTCACAAGTATTTCACTATAAAAGCTCTTCAAATAATAGAATGACAGTTAGTCATCCACATTTTTAAGCTCACATAATCTTTTTATTTCGGTTCATGATTTTATTTTGAAAAATTAGAGAATAGATGTGTGGGAAACAAGCCCTATGAAGAAACAACTATTTTCTGGCAGCTTATGTTTTAGCAGAGTCATTGGTTGTGTTTGAGTGATTAGAAATCCAGCAGTCTGTGGCACAGACACGGAAAGTAAACAAAGTTGAGCTAGTAACAGCTTACAGCTTACTTGAATCAAATATTCAGGATGCGCGTGTGTGTATATATATTGTGTCTGTTACGTACTCCTCTGGGATTCTGTGCTATGTTTGTTATAGTTTATTTTTAGTTATGTTTTTATTGTGACCTGCAGAAGGACTGCAGATGATACTAGCTCTAAGCTAACTCTGCAATGCATTAAATGGCAACATTGATGTTTAATATTGCACATGGTCCCTTTAAAAATAAAATACATTAAAATCATCTGTCTGATACGTTCTCATTGGTTTGTTTGCACTGATGTTGAGAGTAAAATCAATGTTTATACCTGCATGTTTACATGAGTGCAGAATTCAAGAGACCACAGGAGCTGATGTGACAGCATTACTTTGAGTGCGTCCTCTAAATTGGGACAACTTAACGGAATCAACCAGAGCATCGACTCATACACTAGGTACTTCAAGATGTTAAGGAACATCAGCACTTTAAGAATTTAGATTTATTGCAACTTAAGTCTCATCATAATATCTATTTGTTTATGATAAAAGCTTCTCACCATGTCCATATCTTAGATGTGACAATAAACCGAGTTACATCCAGATCATTTGAACGTCTACTTGAAGGTTAAAATGAAAGTATGGACACCTGAAATGTTGCTGATAGTCCCTCATTGAAACCTTGCTCTTAGCGACAGACTGTCTTATGTGAAGTAAATCTTTAAATGGTTATTGAAGCTCAGTTCAACCGTGTGTTTCTCTTGATGCTTATAAACGGATGACTCTGCAGTTCTTCCAGATTCTTAGCAACAAAATATAACTGCCCAATGTGCGTGGTCTCTGTAAATTAAATGTTAGTCAAAAAAGGAACTCATTTCGGGTACAAACATGCAATCAAATAAAACACAACAAAACACAATGGAAAACACGTAAAAATGTAACAAAAACCACATTATTTCATATTTTACCTTTGATGCCTTTCTGCAAATGTTTCTCTTACTGATTCTAGATTGTTCCCTGAGCATGCTGGGTCTACCACTACCTAACATCTAAATCTAGTTCCTAACATATCAGATAAGCAGCAAGGAAAACAGAGAGAGCATTTACCCTACAGGTAAAGGAAAAGGAAATAGTAAACAGATGAGTAAGAGAAGAGAAAGACTCTACCTTCTTCCAGCTCCGACCAAAGCTCCCCTATGACATTTTCCACCAAAAATGTGCGGCTCTGCCGGTTGCGCCGTACATGCTCCTTAGCTGGTTGTTAACAGAAAGAGAATGTTCTGGTGAGTGTGATGAAGGCGTGAAGCTCTGCTGTGTGAAGCCGTGGAGCTCATATATACAGGGGTGTGTAAAGGCAAGCTGCAAGCTGAGGTGCACACGTGTCCACACTGTGAGCAAGTCTGACTCTGATCGAGGTTCTCCCATGTGTCACTTATATTCTCCACAACTGAGTTTACTCCAGTAATAAACACATCATTTTCCTGTTCGACACATATTCATGTAAAGTACATACAAGTATAAAGGACTATCTGTCACAACTAGGGATGTCATAATTCTCCACATCCACAAGTTGATCCCACATGTGATTTTGAGGTCAGAGGACCAGGAGAACCAACCAGGAGAGTTTACAGGACATTCTGCACAACATGTCTGAATGTCCTGTATAGTTTTAATGGTTGGCAGTTAATGGGTCTGCAGTTTACTTTATACTTTGTATTTTTATTTTCATTGTATTCCTATCTATTCTGATTTTATTTGCATTCATATGCATGCTTTTCTTCTTTTCTTTTCACTGCTGAAACATCTGAGTTTCCCCACAGGGGCAGATTTATGATTTATAACGATTCTATCGTCTATTAAACGTACAATATGTAAAATTCTATGACAATGTTTACATTAAAATATCTACATTAATTTAAAATAGACTAATCCTATGTAATATATATTTTTTGTTGAGTACTTCCATGACCTCTAATATTTCCAACAGTCATTAAAGCCAGAGAAAACAGAGCCATGACAGACAGAATGTTTATCGTTGCCGTAGAAACACCGGATGTTATGTCAAAGACTGCTACAAACTTGTAAACAAACTTATGAGAATGTTACATTAAATCTATTACGAGGACTTTCTTCTTGTTTTGCTCGCCTCGTGAATTTGTGGCACCCCTCGTCCCAACCTGCAGACTGATCTAGTTGCTCAAAGTGAGAACATGCAGTAAAAGGGACAGGTTTGAATGTGAAACAGAATATTAAGGCAAAATTAATAATGAATCTTGTATTATGTGATCAAACCTTAATTTGACCTTCTCAGTTGGTTTTATATAAAACATTTGAATTTCTAAAGAAAACCATGCGAAGAGGGCAGCATGACAAGAACATCGATCAATCATGCTCCATTAATGGGAAGGTCAATGAATACATGTTGTTACATCAGTTCTGATATTAACGTTTAAAAAAGCAAACATAAGCTCATCTTCTAAAAACACTTTTAAAAAAAACCTGACTTCTTAACGATGACTGTCTAAAGGCTACGTAAGCTGCAGCACAGTGCAGCGCTGTGACCTGCTGTTGACTGGCTGATAGCAGGAAGACCTGGCAGAAGAGAATGTCAGCAGGACATTTCCTCTCACATGAAGGAAACAATAGAGAGAAGGAAAGAACAACTCTTCTGCTCTCATTAGCCTCACAGAGGGCATGAGAGAGGTCTCCAGTTAGCAGTATTTCAGCCTCACTATAGAAACCGTGTCAATGTTAGTACGGGTTTGTCACAGCAGATAAATTACTTCAGAGTGAACGTATATTTCATAAAGTTTCATTTTTTATGATAATATTAGCTAGAGGTTGCTTCAGTGTGAATGCTTGTTATGTCAACAGGAAACAGAGGCAGTGGTTATATTGTTTATCTTGACAACAGCTCAAAGGGGATTACTCAATTCATTGTCTGCCATAGGAATATCAAGATCTTTTTTTTTGGACAGCTGGAGTTGAACAGAAGTAGTCAGACATAAAATCGTGATTTAGGGAGTTTAGGTGGTTTAGCTCAGCAGATAGTGACAGGTTCAACTCCAGGCCTGCGACCATTTGGTGCAAATCCCCCCCCCCCCTTTCTCTCTTCCCCACCCCAAGGCGAAGGCTAAACAGTCGTGCCAATTAGAGCCGAACGGAGTCAGGAACATCTTCATGTAGGATTGTAGCAACATTTAAGTATCTTACATGCAGAGAACAAGAATGTTCTTTACTACCAAATTCACTCTTTTGATTTTTGAATTCCTGAAGTAAGACAGAAAATATGTCTTAACACCATTTATTTGTGATTAAAAATAATAATAATAATGAATCTATTTTTGACAACAACGATTCAATAATCTGTTGTGCAGGCTTCTCTCATGCTGTGTTGAACATCATTATCTTTATCAGTAGTTAGCTAAAACAGCTCATTACACAGTCTGTGAGCTTAACTCATTATATGGAACGTGTCTTCAAATAAAAGCCCTGGCCTGTGGCTGAAGCAGCCTGGAGAGTGTGTAAACAGTCTTTGGACTGAAGCTGTAAAAAGGAAAATACAAAATGTTTGTCCTGGAGATAAACTAGTCAAACTGCTAACTGATGTTCTTTTGTCATGTTGGCCCTCTGGCGATGTTAGGAGCGTGTCAGAGGTCGGTAAATTAGTTTGTGTAAATATATGTCAACCTGGACTGTCTCTGAAGTTAAGTTTTTGTCTCGACCCAAGAGAGGCTAGGATTTATAGCCAGGCTAATGACACTACATAATGTATACTATAATGCTAATAGTACAGAACAATATATTATTATAATATTATTATATTCATCTTCGTGATATGGTTCCTTTTGATTTTGTGTACCACTTTCTTATTAATTATTTGAACTAACTATTGTGTAGGTTTTACTGCTTGGGCCCATTGAATATTGTTCATTAACGACACAGCCTCAGGGAGTGACGGCACACTTTTTAGAGTTTCCAGTGTAGCCAGTTAGTAATACATGACTCCATGGACTCCCTTTTCCATTTGTTGCTTTTGTTTACAGTCAGACCTGCAAATTCTGAGACAAGAAAGGCGTCGGACTGAAGAGGCGAAAGAGTGGATCGCTGCATGCAGATATAAATACAGCTCTAAATCAAAGTAAAATCGTCCTATTTTGCTCTCCATACGGGTTTTTTTTTCTGCCTAAAGTCCAGTTCCTATGACTAGTGTGAGTGCTCCGATCCGTGCTCAAGCCCGGTACACTTCCTTTGTCCAAGCACGCTTGAAATAAGTGTGCTTCGGCACAACTTTGTCTAGAGTGATTGGCCTTAAGAGACACTGTTTACTGTAACTATGCTTTATAAATAGTAAAAACTTGAATAATAAAGTTCAGTGAAGTTGCTGAGTGAGGCACTATGGTCCACAATATGACATGCAAACACAACAACAGCTACACACTCTGACCAACACAATAAAGAAATCAACAAACCACATAAATCAAACTGATACGACTAAAGAGATCAAAGAACGTCGACTTCAGATTATTTTTTCCTGAGCCGGAGCATTTGGTCTGGTGACATAAGAGACAATAATATGATGTGAGGGGGAAGGAAGATGGAGGTTAAACCAGCCTGTCACATAAAGGACCTTTTAAAGAAACATCTTTATTACAGGACACCTTTGGTGACAGTGGATGGATTTGAAGTAAGAAAAATGTTTCATGATCAGTGCAGATTAATGGAATATTTGCTGTTTCCAAAATCATTCATTTCTAACTGTAAAGTACATTCAAAAAATGACTTGAGTCATGTCTGAAAGCCATTTGAAATATTTCCCTATATTGACATCTGCATTGACATCCCTAGAAAGGGTTGAGTAGTCCAAGGTGACACAACAGTTGTGATGTGGTATGGTGGGGTTGATGAAAAAAAAGATGGTCAAGTTAAAGTGTGACCCGTGTGTTTAAAGCTGTGTTTAGAATATTTAACTTCTCTTTTTCCATTGCTTAAATAATTGGATTTCTTATTGACAGTGAGAGAATAGTGACCAGAGACAACCTGTGACTTAACATTGATTACTGAACAAACTCTTCACTGTTTGCATGATTTGTATATATTAGATATCTATATGGAACAGTTATACATTTGCTAATTTACTGCAAAACAACTAATTTAATGAAAAAACTTAAACAAGTCAAGTTATTTTGTCTAAAACGAAGTTCAAATCTTTTCTCCAGCACGTTGTATGACTTTAAAGGAGCAGTATGTAAGATATTTACTGAATTCAACCACCAGACATTAAGGAAACATGCTATGTGAAGTGCTGGCTTCTCTGACAACAATGCAGCAGCCAGTATGTCCTCCTTCTAACTTTAGATTCTGGTCCTGAGGGGTTTGTTTTTGTTCTAACCAGAGAAGGGAGGCGGTTTAAGACTCCCCAAACACAGCCACTGTGGACGCCCCTCGGTTGGTCATGGAAACCAACAGGTGTTACAGTGATGAAAGCGGGCAAATGGACTGGTTCATATATAACTGATTCCATCTGACCTAAAAGCCTCGGCATTTCTCCAATAAGCTCCATGAACAGAAAGGTAGTAAAACTAGGATAAATATTGGAGATGCTTTTGAAAAATGAAGAGAGGTAAGAACGCACTGCAGAAAGGTTAAAGACCGATGAGGAGCTGGCTAAACACTGAAGCTTTCATGTCCATGACATGGCAACCTGCGTGCACATGGGCTTTATGGAGGAAGGGGGCAGGGGGGAGACAGCTCTCTCTAATGTTTTGAATTTAGACTGTGTACAATTTCTTAAGGATGCATGATAGAGTTACATACTGCTCCTTTAAGTACAGTTTATTCTACTTATAAATGTGTACTTCTACGATCCCAACGTTTTGTGTTCTGGGAGGATATTAGTGCGCTGTAATAAAACCAGAGATATGAATAATCTATCACTGAACTTCCCATTATAAATAATGTGTACTTTTTTAAAGGGATAGAGTCTCACAGGAGAAAAAGTAAAGTTGAAACATGGTGTTTGGAGGGAAATCAAAAGTGATTGTGTCTGTTAAGGCCCATGCATTCCCTGTCTGAATTGTAAAAAAGAAAGCATGTTTACCATTACCTGGAGAAACTATGGAGGAAGGAAGGAAACACAGTATGTTACAAAGTTAAGAATGCATTCAACCCAAAGGGACGAGTATAATAGATGATCAAGGAAGCATGGAGTCAGTGATAATGACTGTTCAATGAGCATCATCGTCATATCAATGCAAACTGCGTCACGTGATGTCGGGGATGACGTGACATACCTTGGGTCATACCGCTGCCCACGTTGTCAGTGGGGCTAATGCCGTTCTGGGTGGTTTTGGAATCCAGGTCCACCATCTGGTGGAGGCGGAGTTTGCGGCAATAGATCGATGCTGCCTCAGGTTCTAAGGCGATGATCAGCTGCTCTGGGTTTTCACGGGGCACCAGACCAGACTACACAGGGGCAGAATAAAGACATGGAAATAATAAGCATTAAACACCCCAAGGTTCCCCACGAAAGCACAAGGAGGCGGATGAATCTCATAAAAGTGCAACAAAGAGAAGAGGTCTGTGGCAGAGATGGGAGATGAAGCAATACAGAGACTCATCAATGACGCAAGTACAGCTCTTCAGATAGTTAAAAGCCACAGGTAAGCAGTAACATGAAACAGCTCATCCTGCCGGGGCCTGGTCATTGAGATGCTCTCCGACCAGCACTCTGACGAATAATGAGTGTTTGTGGGGCTATTTGAAGTTTGACACAATGTCAGTACATGCACGCTGAGGAGCAGCAGCAGCAGAAGCAGCAGCCTCTGCCTCCGTCTTCACAGGATGCTTCCGGGCACAGTTCTGACTGTAGGTCACCCACATTTTGGCAGTGCTCAGAACCCACACACATACTTCAATACTCGAGGCATAAAAATACTCCTCAGGTTGTTCAGGTTGTGGTATAACACATACTACTGAAATGCCACATTAAGTGTGAGTGTGCAGCGTGCTAGTTAGAACTGAGTCAGGTTTTATAGAGCAGAATGACTGATGGCTGTGAGTATATTTTCACAGTTTAAATTAATAGACAAAAATGTGTCCAAGTTAACATACCATTACAAAACGTGAGCAATGACACAAAAGCAATGTTCTAATTAAAAGCTGCTGGCGAGGAACAATGAGGCTTATTTCACAATCAGACAGTAAAACAGAAACGAGTAGTTTCACACAAAAAAAGAGATAAGACCCGAGGGATGGATCATAGGAGAGAAGGGGTGAAGCCAAAAGGGCAAGAGAAAGTGTTATGGGTGGTGTAATGTGCTGAGACAAGCTAACAGATGATGAAATCAGAGAAGGATGAGGAGGAGGAGGACGAGGAGGAGGAGTGAGCAGTGAGCTGCTGTCCCTCAGTCCTCCATGAACAGCCAATGAAATGATCCATGCTGCCTGATGCTGAGTCACTGCAGATGCTCAGCGCTCCCTTCGCGCACTTTCTCTCTACTCTCCATCCACTCACCCCTGCATCCCCGCCCACCCAGCCCTACTGCAGATAACAGTTCTGTTTCTGTCCTCATCTACATCCCTCCTCTTCTCATCCTGCTCCTCTTTTAGCACACATACACACACACACACATCCACACACCCACACACACACAGGGGTGTGATCAGGAGAAAAGGATGATATCATGGAGTAGAAAGCTGGGAAACATGAAGCCAGAAGAGTCCAGACCAACAAATTTGAATGTATTGTTTTGGTTACTCAAACAAAGAAATTTTTTGGAAATATGCAGATTTTCTTTCTTTCCAAGAGTAATTTAAGATCATTGATATCAAGCCGATGCCTCTTATCAGCACAAACTATTCTGGAGTATAACCAAAATCTCTGAAGCACAATGTGTGGTTTTAGGTGTAGAGACTTAGTGAACATGAAAGTGCAGTGACGGTGCACAGCTTTTTAACTTGTACTCGTCATTGGTTGGCTATCATCGTGACTGGAAATGGAAATAGGATCAACACAGACAACAGCTTAGATTTAACCAAATTCTCTTAACCAAATGTACACACACACACACACACACACACACACACACACACACACACACACACACACACACACACACACACACACACACACACACACACACACACACGTGTAGACACACATGAGCAGACCCCTTTCCCCCATCCAATCACGGCTTTCCTGTCTCTTCCTCTCATCCTCCTTTAGCCTCTTTTATTACTGCAGACAGCCACACCCAGGTGACCACTCTGGGGTGGCTGGACACACACACAAACACACACACACACACACACACACACTAATAAGATGTCTACTTGTGAGGTTAGTCTTTCCCTCATTCTATTTTTTCCTCTGTCTTCGTGTGTCTCTACATCGATGACTCTGACTCCCTCTCAGTGTCCTCTACCACGGTCTGGAGGTCACTGTGTGTGTGTGTGTGTGTGTGTGTGTGTGTGTGTGCATGCACACACAGTAGGCACGTTTCAGTGATTTCAGTAATGTGTCACTCTGCAGAAATACCTTTTTTTTTAAATCCCATCCCATCATATCTGTGATTTTTAGTTTTCCCTGAAAACAATAGGCAGGGTTTCTGGTCAGTGAAACGCATGCAGCTCATGGTGATGTAACATTGACATGACAAGTAACATGAGCGCAACATGAATATGCATGCTCTATTTCAAGCTAGCACAATCTTTCTGTGTACATACATGTATGTATGTGTGCATAGTGAAACCTAGACATACATACTACTATGATCTGCCAGAGACGCTCACTACGAGCACCATATCTTCGCTGATGTGAAACAGTGCAGCATCGGTGATCCTCTTGAGACTCTTCTTCTCTAAGGACGCTAATGTGTATGTGTTTTTGTGCTAATGTTTGTCGTTTCAGGCTGCCATTGTCTTGGAGAACATACAGAACCAAACAGAAAGCACCAGTTTCTTATACCTCTTACACTAACCAGCAATCTGCTGCCTGTTCCTTACTTTGGTACAAGTTGCTGCTACTTTTAGTTTTGGCACGAGTCTTACAACAAAAGCCAGAGCACAAACACTGAAAGAACCTTCTCAGCCTACCTTATAGGCAGCTTCCCTCATAAACTGCTTTGCAGGCATCTTCCAGATGGCAGGAACAGTGATCACCCATCTCACATCGTTGTTGTCGAAGTCTCCCCCTGTCTGATCACTCAGCTCCTGTAGGACAAGTCAAACAACAGCTACAGGTTAGGAACATGTGGGGTAGATTTCTCAAATCTCATATAAATGTATAAGAGGTCAGGTTAATGGAATTTAATTTTCCTTCACTACTCAACCCTTTCTTGTTAATAAATCTTCCATTTATAATGTAACAACTTACAACATGCCCTGGTCAGATAAGGTTTTAAACTTTTATTTAATTTAAATAATTTAAACAAACTGACATTTTCTTCATGATTCAACTCGTATTTTTTACAGTGTAGCTATAAATGTGTCATGAGGAAAAATGCATGGTTTTTGTAAAACAACAGTAAATACATGCGTGATGATGGAGGTATTTCACCTTCAGTGCTTGCTCCTTAAAGAAGGCCAACGCATATGCAAAGATATCCAGCGCTTTCACTCGCTTCCCATTGGCTGCATGGAGATCTGTGTCGATGGACAGATTCTGTTTGCAAGGAGAAGGTGGTAAAGTTAGAGTTTAACAGAGGACTTCAATCTTAAACAATGTAACAGAAAAAACATCATCATGTTGAGATGAGATATAAGGTGAGGGATGATATCACATGATCAGTGTTCTCCTGAGTGGGTTTGACACATAGCTGACACTAACTGAAACCTGTAAGATGTTGATTTCTGTCATTTGAGTCTTACCAGGGATTCTCAACAGCCTACAGCCAGACTGCTATAAAATATTCATGGTGACCAGAGGATGATTCCTAATGGCTTCTGTAAGCCAGTGACCTTTCCTCCAGCTCAATCGTCCAGCTAAAGGATATGTCTAATGTTATTCTAAATAAAATGTCCACATGAAGAAAGATGTATTAGAAGTCAATTATAAACAGGCTTCGATAGTTTTCTATTCTGGAAACATGTCTGATTAAAACAGCACAGCAGACACAGAGGCACACTGCTGATGGAACAGCATCATCCAGACTGAGTCCTGCAGAGATTTACTGGCACTAAAGGAGCACTGAGCCTACAGTCAGTGGCTAAAATGCCTACCACATGAAAATAAATAGAAAGAGCAGTGTGCTGCAGTTTCAGCCAAGGTGAGACACTCAGTATGCTAAAAACAAAGAAGTAATTTACAGATCTGCTTGTCATGTATTGTCTGTCTGTGCGGTTTATTTGCATCCTTACTGCAGTGGTGTGGAGCTTCATTTTGAATTTTTCCAGGTACAGCCAGTGTTTAGAGTCGCTGGGGTCTAGGTCGTGGTAGAAGTCACGAGCAGCGTAGCCGAAGCTGTGGAACTTCCTGTCTGGAGTCAGCAGGATTGTGGTCGGAGTCTTCTGGTTTGACACACCAGGGTCTCCGCCTTCCCAACGCCTAGGAAGAGACAAGTGAGCTATTAAAACGTGTGCTGATGAATCTATGTTACTATTTCTGTATTAAATGTATTTATATAAAGAGGTCTCCTGTGCAAAATCATTGTTTGTATGATTCAGTTTAAACTGATCTGAAATAAAAACAATGAGAACTTAAATACAACTCTCATACCCTCGCCACAAGCAAAACTACAAATGTAATTGGTAAATGGACTTGAGCTTGTATAGCGCTTATCTAGTCGTACGACAACTCAAAGCGCTTTTACACCATAGTCACACCAACCCATTCACACACTGATGGTTGCTATGTAAAGTGTCCATCAGAATGAAATAATCCCATTCATACACACTCATACAACGCTGATGAAGCAGCGGGAGTAACTTGGGGTTAAGTGTCTTCCCTAATCACATCATACATGTGGCTTCAGGAGCAACCTTCTGCTTGAGAGACGACCAAGAACCAACTGAGACTCAGCCTCAGGCACTCTAATCATCTAATAATCAGCAACATACCAACAATCCATCTTTACACTTAGTAAAAATGTGATAATATCTCAAAAACTTAAACTCATAAGTAATAAGTATGATTTTTTTAGTGTTTCTTAATTCAGGATTGTTTTAGATCAATTTGTTTTCTGTGCTCATCATTGGAAATTTGATGGAAAAACAATATAATTTTTTTTTAATTTGTATTTTTGAAAAAACAAGAATAATTTGATTATATCTAATGTTTTTTTTTACTCACACAACCAATCTTCGTTTGTATGGATTTCAAGGATATAAATAATTTCTATAAACTACTCCAAGAAATCACATCACAATCATCAAAAATGTATAGGAGGACGCTGACAGACCACCTCAGCATCGACCTAAGGGTTAATCAAATGTAGACTTTTGGATCCCTGAGCAGGTTGAAATTGGGAGCTGAATAGTGTTCTGAGGGGAATCCTCCATTAAGCCATCACTCTTTTGGGACTGACATCATTTTCAAAAAGCAGTGATGTATGTATTAAAAGCTCCATGCTCTGTTCACAGTCAGCACGTTTCTCTTCATGCCTCTCTGTATCATCAAATCAGTCATTTAATGACTTCAGAACCGCTTAATGAATTCATCTTTCCAGCTAATTGAGGCTACCTCCACATGTTACTGTTTAAATGAAGGTCAGCTATTATTATCATTCTCTCTGTTCCTTGGGAGAAGTGCATGATGGGATTATGGAGGTCATCTCACAAAGAGCACCTGAGGTGAAGAACTAATTCTGGATCTCTGGGAAAAACTGGATGGAACAACTTAGGCGTGTGAGATATGAGGAGTTGGTGAGATCTCTGACATTTATTTTTGTACTATTCTTTATTTATCAGTGTGTTCATTTTAATGATCCTGTTGTTCAGGAGCAAACAACATATACCAAGAAAAGATGTTCAAGTAATTACTGTAATTTTCTTGCAATGTGGCTTTAAAAACATTCTTTCATAATGCCCATTACACACACAATTATCTTACTTTGGTTTGAGTTAAGTCACTTTGACCAAAAGTGGCAGCAACACTTAAATGTTATTATCTCATCTTCTGTGCAAAAAGTCATTAAGATGGTGATATGACTGGTAAAGTCAGTTGCACAGAAATGTTCAGCTAAAGTTTGCTTACAAACCTACACTGCACAAATAGTGTAAATGATGCTAAAATAGTGCCAGAAAAGTTCACTTTTTTTCCTCTCCTGACCTTTGCAAAGATTTTAAAGTGAACCACACACAGTGCTGGAAGGTAAGATGTGCTAGGAGATGTCTTTGTTTGCTTTGGTCTCTTTGTTGGATTTTATTTTTACAAGAAACCTATAAACTGAATGCAGGTTTCTACTTCAGGTCCAAACACCAACAACGAGCCAGGCTAGCTGACAGTGCCCATCAATAGAAGCAGCCCTCACCATGTCACTGATGTGATCACTGAGTCATGCTGGATGTTTAATAATGAATGAATTTTACTGGAAGAAGGTCAACTGAGGTGGAAAACATTAATAACACTGTCTGGAAGCTGCATCTCCTAAAAGGAGAGGAAAGACACTTCATCTTCAATCTTTCACCACCTCAGTCTATTTGTCCATAATTGTGGACAGCTAGCTTCTACTGCTACTTCTGCAATTGATTCCCTCACAACAAGTGAGGACAGCTGATGAATGCTAATGTTGGGTCTATAGGGCGAGGAATGTCTCGTAGCAGCGCAGCAGACACTCCCCTCTCAATTCCTTTATAGAAACTAAAAACCTTCTCATTGAAACAACACAGGCAGCCTGAGTCCAGCCTTTGTTTGGATAAGGATTTCAGCAGAGGATGTTCTCACACAAACTAAATAATCAGGGGGATCTGGAGCTGTTTATACTGCAAATCCTGCAGTAATGGGGAAAATATATGATTCAGTTTTATGTCACGGTAAGAGCTAATGAGCCGTGTCAGGGGAGCAATTCTAAGGCAATGTCCTGATGTATTTGTCTGATATTTTTCAAGTGTGTACATGAGGTACAGAGGAACATGGAACACTGATTTGTAACAGTTTCAAAGGGGGTTGTAGTGTCCATTTAGGGGGTTGCACTTCTGATTTGAATCTATTATTACACTAAAGATGGAGTGTTCAAGTTAAAACAGAGCATACACATATTTTACAACACACTGACTGGAAAGAAACTTTCCTGTTTCTGTGGTAACCTCTACCTTTTTGCATAAAGAGAGGATTCAGAGATGAGCAGAGAGTTTCAATGAACTGCTGGTGAATCCTTTATCAGTTTCATCTCCTGAATCTCTCATCCACAGTGCTGTATATCTAATGATTATCTCATCCACAGTGCTGTATATCTACCAATGGTTTGCACTCTGTAAAGCTAAAAACTCTACTGTCCAGCCTTTGAGTAGGCAGAAAAGCACACAAAATGTTTACGTAAGGATGTCACAACACCGATCAATGAGTGTGCATGACTGCACAGATTTTTCTTGGCACGGTTTACTCAGCACAAACTTCACTGCAAACACAACAAACTGTCTTCTATCTTGTACTGTGTGAGCTAAAGCATTCACAGTATATGAGGTTATAGTAAGTGAAGACACTGGACAGATTACTTTAGGTTTATAGAGATTCATCTGGATTCTCTTCACATCTTCAGTATGAGTTGAGACAGTTTACAGTGCAGACAGAGTGGCACTATTTAAAGATACATATATGTTTAAACACTATACTATCATCAGCCGAAGAGAGCAATGCACAGAATGTGAAGAATCACACATGAACCGGTCAACTAAACACCTGTCAGCCCGTGTTGAGATGGAAGCTGTTAACCCCTGTGGTGCCAGGCACAGAGGGCAGCAGAGCGGACCTACAGGGTCATGAGAGTCTCAGAGAGTTAAGCTCTGTTCACTGCTTACAGCGAACTCTCTACACAGAGGGATCAACTTCTTACTTTAGCTTCTTTACAATTTAACATAGAAGATGGTATTCAAAGGTCTGTGAGTAAAACTAAACCTAATTTATACAGCGTCATAACAGTAATCACACTTTATAAACCTGTTCTAAATAAAAACATACAATACACCAAACAGGCAAAGATAGGACAATTCAATTAAAGGGAGATTAATAATGAATGCATAGATTATTCATTTAAGAATAGGAAGACGGTATCATTGATTAATCCCACAAGGGGAAATGACTTTTACACTCTGTCATGAAGACATGCTACACACACATAGGCTAAAATATACACACAGAGACGCAGTGGTTAGAGTGGCGCCCCATGTATGGAGGCTTTGCTCATCCAAGCGGGAGGCCCAGGTTCAAATCCCACCTGTGGCTCCTTTCCCACATGTCATTCCCCACTTTCTCTCCTTGATTTCTGACTCCATCCACAGTCCTATCTCTCCATTAAAGGCACAAAAAGCCCAAAAAAAAAAAAAAAAAAAACATCTTTTCACTCAATCCCATATTTTTAAAGAGTCAACTCGTTGGGGGTCGTTTGTGTCAGCACATGCATGCTGGACGTACATATGCACGTCTGATTATTTCATAAAAGTCCCACACGTATGCACATACGAGCCTGACTTACAGACGGGCGTAGAGTGGACAGAATTCATTGGCCTCCACTTATTGTCACATTTTCCCCGGTCACTTGAAGTTGCCACTCAGAACATCAGGTCTCAAGAATTTCATTATGATATTTATTGAATGTATTACTTATAACATTTAAAATATACGGTTATTAAAATATCACTTCAGATGCATTAATGTATTTTTTAAGGTCCCCCCCACCCTCTCCTTGTCCCCAGTGTGTGTCTGCATTGCAGTGCTTGCCGTACCTCATTGTGTGAATGCACTCCGGCTCCTTAGTGAAGGCGTAAGCATAACCGCTTGACGTGGTGCCAAAGTCGATGGCAACCACCACCACGAAGGACGGCCCTGACGGGACCTGGTCTGTGTCATTCTGCTGGACAGAGAGGACAGTTTGACAGGGTCAGGACGTTTGATGATTGACTGTGGGATGATGTTAGCTGATTGAATTTAACAGAAGTAGCTCGCCTCACACACAAAGCAATTCACTCTCTTTTCACAGCAACGGTTCAAAATTCTTCACAAGAGGAAAAACCCTGAGTCCAGATGATTGAAATCAATAAAAAGTGAACAGTAAATAAGACACAGACTTCAACACACGCAGCAGCAGTGAATTAAATAAAGTCTGCAACATATTCCTCATGTTTGATACCTGAAAAGACACGTCATTGTCTGTCCTTATGTACTTAATCTTGCATTAAATAAAACTCTATTTCATATAATTTAATTTATGAACATTAAAATTAGTACCAACTAGTGTTGTAGTACTCAAGAAATCAAGACCGGTCTAAAGACCACTTTATGAAGGTCTCTGTCTCATCTCGGAATCGAAACCATTATTACGCTGTCTTGTCTCGAACTCGGAGGAATCCAGATTTTAAATCAAGACCGGTCAAGACCACCACTGATGATTCAGAACAAATAACTTCCAACTCATTGATATTTTGATTTTTTTGTCTGCAACCTTCCCGGTGTTACGGTCTCGGTGAGGGACACGCCCCCTGCACATAAGATGATTTTCAGTGATGCTTATGGTCTTGTTTTTGTCTCGCCCTGCCTCGGCTTTGGTCTTGACTCAGTCTGTGAGCACTCCGGTCTCAGGTTTGTCTTTGGTCTTGACTATAACACTACTACCAACCTATAAGTGACTTAATTGCCCTCGTAGATTTGAGATTTCTTACTCGTTGTGTTTGGTGCAAAACGATTTCACCAAAAGCAATGAATGACAAACAGGTCGTCTTGTTCCCTGCTTTGGCACTCAGAACGACCAACATTACAATCAGATGAAGCCCCGGCTAGATATGGCCTATCCTCACATTCATTTCAGATCAATTTGATGGTTGCGTGATGGCTACAGATTCCTAACTGGAGGCAATTTGAATAAGCAAACAGATCGTTTTCAGATGTTTTGTATTTGACAAGAAAATCACTTTCGTTTTCTTTATGCAAATGTTGAGCCTTTTGCATGTGACTGGAAGAAATAACCAGCAATGACAAAAACATTCTCATCCTTTCCTCCTGCTGCACCGTTGATCGTTTAGTTTATCGGGACACTGTGTCCCTATTTATTTTTTTTGTTTAAGAGCTGCACTTCTGCTGTTTGGAATTACTTTGAATTTAGGAGTAGTGAAACACAAGTGATGTGTAAACACAAAGATAAACATCAAAGACATGAAAGCATCGTATTTGAATCTTTGTGTTGCAAATCACAGATCTTCCTCATACAGCCTCGAATACAGAGCAATTAAGTTTATAGTAACAGCTAGCTTTCAACTGCTCTCCTAAGTTGAGCTGTTTCATTTAACAGTGTATGGTTATTAAAATGTAATCACATCATCTTGTTTTTGTTGGTTTTGTTTCACATGGAGCTGCACAGTGGATACCTCTTGTATTTTGCGGAGAGCTTATCTCAGTGTTTGTTGCTATTTTGACCCTATCCGTCGTCGTCCCATTGTGGTCCTCTGACATAGTTATATAATAAATGATTGAAGCAGAGGATACAATGAGCAAAAAGACCAAACACACTCTGTTTACACCGGTATGAAATGGCAGAATTAGTTTCTGCTGTATGGCTTCAATGTAATGGGATTTTAAAAAGACAGTAAATGTTTTCTAATGATTAACAACAGCATGGCAGATTAGTAAAAGGTGGCAGCAGATTATACATGTGAAGTACTTTCTAAAGACATGTGAAGAGATATGGAATAGAGATGAGAAAAGTGAGTCACCTGAATGTGTGAGGGAGACAGAGGGGTGATTCCAGGGTCACCCATACTCTTTGCTGGAGAAGGATTGGCCATCGCATCTGTGGAGGAAGACAGAGAACGATACTGATGACAAATCTGACATGGTGCTTATATTTTATTATTACTTCATCACTTCTTCATAAACATGCTTACTTAAACTTTGCTACATACAACTGTAAAGGCCCAGATAAAAGACAGGAGAAAGGATATGAAGCCTTAATCATCCGTCAAGGAGTGAAAAGATAAAGTAACACAATGCCCTGATGAGAAGCTCAAGAGAGTTGCAAACTGCTGACAGTCAGGGGAGATGACTTTACTGCAGGGTTCAGATTTAAGTGGCTGCCAGGTTGGCATCCAGATCTGCCACTTGGAAGCAGAAGGTTAGAAATTTAACTGACACTTTGAGTAATGAGTAAGACAATAAGCAGCTTGACATCGCCTTTATTTTTTTAAAGGTTTAACTTTGGGCTTTTTATGCCTTCATTTAGAGGTAGGACAGTGGGTGGAGTCAGAAATCTGGGAGAGAGAAAGAGGGAGTGGAGGAATGACATGCGGGAAATGAGCCACAGGTTGGAGGACTATAGGCTACATGGGGCCTGAAAACCTATCCACCACTTTGCCGGTGACGCAGCATCACCTTTCTGATGAAAATGAGCTGTAAATGTATGACATGTACTACTACATGTTAACATGACGAAAGCTAAAGTTTATCTGAAGGTCAGGTCTTTGGTTGATCAAGTCAAATAAAAAGATAATGTTGCATTTTCACTCTGGTCTGGTTCCTTGTCACACCAACCTTTTATTAACGAACCAAGGTGAGAAAACATTTTTGCATAACACATAAGGTGTTATGCAAAATAGACTTCACCATGTTTTTCCAACACTAATATGTGTCCCTAGTTTGTCTACAACCCCCTCTACAATTATCAGAAAAGTCCATCCTCTCTGTCTTTTGCCTGCTCCACTTTTCGGAAAATGTGTGCTCAAACAGGCCATTTGTAGATTTCCTTTTGTGACATCACAAAGGGCAGTAATCCCTCCCCCAGGTGGTCGACACTCCCACAGCTCGGTGTTTGTTCTGCCTTCTCACCGTAAACAATATGGCATGGAGCGAGAAAGCCCGAGCCTCCCAAGCCCTTCCAGAGAAGGGCAGGGTTAGAAACAGCTTATTTACATTTAAAGCTGCAGACACAGAAACAGTGAGTAGAGCAGAAATAGAGGGGTTTATAGGCATGATCAAATACAGGATCAGAGTGGATTTTTGGCAAGAAACTTGACAGACATCTTTTGGAGACCTCAGAATCTTATTTAAACTGGTTGAAAAGGAGAATAATATGTAACCTTATTTAGTTATTTACTGATGGTATCTTGATTACTTGAGGTAATCGTTTTGTCAATAGATTTCCTGCACGATCAGGGGAGGAAATGAAATATGGATGAGACACTTAAATGTTTCTGATTTTTAAAATTTCTGTTGTTGGTGTCAAAAATAGCTCACGAAGTAATAACTGATAGGAAAAGTTTTTATTATGAGGTTTAAAAACAACAGCTTTTAAAGTCCCCATGAAACAGCTTTTAAAGTCCCCATGAAACGTAACTTTGTAAGTATCTAACTGCTGGGTCCATAGAACCTGTTAGCATAGCTTCCAAGCAATATGGCGGACGATTCTGGGAGTGAGTTCCAACCCACTGATCTGTGATTGGTCTGTAGCTTCAGTGGTTGAAAATATGAGGAACTAGCGTTGTAGTTTCACCCCGTTAACAACAACAGCTTCCAGTGATGCAAAATGATGATTTTTGCGTCACTGGAAGCTCATTTTCTGACTTAGAAATACAAAGATTTCCCATCTCAGGGGAAAATGAGGGCGGGATGCATGACCATTCAAAAATACTACCAAGTTTCTAATGATACAAAGCTTAATGCAAATGGGTCAAGTATCCTTTTAATCGTGCTATATTCTCATCAGCCCAAAGGGCATCATCACTATTATCAATCAAAACCCCCAACTAATAAGTTTCCTATGTATGCAGTTAATAGTTATGAGTTGTGTATGAAATATGTTTCAATTATGAAAAAAAGTTCTTGATACATTTTCAAGCACTTAGATTAAATACCCCTGAGCCCTGTGATCTGGGGTCACCTTCATCCAAGAGAACAGAGGATCTCAAATTGTAGAGCTGCACAGCGGTACTCTTCTTCAGGTGGTATTGTTTTCCAGTTTCTGGAGATGCCTTTGAGCAGAGTGTTTCACAGCACCATCATTAGAAATGCATGAAACAGCGCAGAGAGAAAAGATGGCTCCTCTCATGTAGACGACTGACAACATCTCCTCCATTCAAACAGAAGAAAATGTGTGTAGCACCTGTCTTTAAAACACAATGACATTTCATTGTATTGAAGATTGTCTTCCCATTTGCCACCATCATTTTCATTAGTCTGACTTAATAGCCTTCACAGAAAGTGTTCTTTGAACGCAAACAATAATAATACTCCCGTAACACCTTTTAAGTGTCTGGCAGAATCATCTCACGACGGGACATCATGTTATCCATCCTATTTTTCTGCCTCGCTCACCCTTTTCTCTGGTCCACCCCTACAGAGTGGATGAGTGGTCTGAAGACCCATAATACACTTTGCCAGGCAATTACAGTGCAGAATTACAGACCACCTGTGGCTACACTCCATCTAGCCACCATCCCAACTGTCTCTCTGCAACCCAGCAGCCCACTCCCAAAATCACCTTTACAACCTGGACTTTTTATTCCTGACAATGACCAGAAAAATCTAATCGCGAGTAGAGAAATAAAGCGATTGCTTTTGTAGTTAACAAGTGCTATACTGCTGTGGTTTGGCACAGCCATGCTTTGTTGTTGTGCTATCTCCATCTGTTTACCTCAATGTGAAATACATTTCTTTCCAGTTTTTGCATCAGAACATTTGATTTCTGTGAATGCGACTGTTTAACAACACTTTGATCCTTTCAGTCCAACCTTCAATTCAACACTAAAAGAAACACGATTGGAACTGGACCAGGGGGGTTCAATACATATCAGGAGACAGGTTTTACAATTCAATATATCAAGATTTTTATCAGGAACATTTTTTATACACCTCCACTCAAAATATATATTTAATGCCTATGAATTTATCTCTGAAGTATCAGACAGCAGGTGTGTTTAAATGTAATGGTACATCTGGTCATCAAATGGCCTTCTCTCAATCATCAAATCAATACAAAGTTATTCTATGAGATGTTAGCATTAAGCAACACAACCAATGTTTAAATCCAACTGTACAAATTAAATGCTTAAGCTTTCAATTTCTAGCACCAAAAATAAAAGTTTCCTTGGACACAAGAAATATGTGATTAATATTTTAATTTGAAAAATACTTTCAAACAATCCACTAAGCTGGGAGGGCACAACTTTTTCAGCAAAATGCTGCTGACTCTATCTTTCAGTGTAGACTAGTTAAAAACTATTTCTTCTATTCTTTTTCTATTGCATGTGCAATAGTCTGCAAACAATGGGAAGCTAGCTGAGTCATATCTGGTATATATAAGTGTAGTAATATTACAGTAAGTGTCAGTTGACATGGTTCTTTAGCTTCTCATAACATCTTTGTGGACTTTTGTCAACAGATGCATGTCGTCTAAGAGGGGAAGGTGAACCAGCATTGTGTGCGTAGAATCAGAATCAGAAATACTAGATTAATTAAGAGGGAAATCTGGTCCTTACAATCGTTCCTAAAACACAATATAGTAGTGGGAAATATAGAAATATATGGCGTGCATATACTACAGTTGTAGAAACCCTCTGTGGGCCAATGCGCACAAAACCAAATTCCTACATATTGTACTTTGTCAACATAACTTTAACCTGCATAGATTAGTAATCCATTTTCCTGATGGGCTGCAGAACAACAATATTAAACAGGTAATTCTATATTCCTTTGAAAAGCCTGTTGCACTCATGTTGACATTGCAGCACTGACAGACCAAAAAGGATGTGAGGATTCTTATTTTCTCTTCTCTCAGTATGAGCATTGACTTCCTGTTGCCTCACATTCCTTCTATTCCCCCGAGGACAGAAACTCTGAGGCCTTAAAGACGAGTGTGAGACAGTATAATAGTCAGGTACTTCTGCTGTAACCTTAAACTCAATTACAAGTTTAACCAAAGTCTAAGATCAGTAAATTCTCTAAAGATTGTTTAAACTGCAACGGATAGAGAGAATAATGAATCATGTGGATTGTGATGATAGTATTTTTTTAATCAGCCAGATGAGATAAAGGAGGACATCCTGTAGAGCTCTGCGTTTAATCAAACGTTATTTCACTCACATTCTGGCTTCCAACTCTCACCAAAATAAGATAAAAAAGGATAATGGAGATAGAATGATGCTTGTTCTCCATGCTGTGCCAGATAATGACCTTTTTGGGTAATGACCTCGTTGAAAAATCCCCAGCACTTGCTGGAGAGTTCCCCCCTGTTTTCTCTTTGTCATTCTTTTTGTTTTTTTAGCCCTGGAAGAATGTAAAAAGTACAAATGTTTCAACTTCAGACGGGGATTTTGAATGAGCTCACCATTACCGGTATTTTTTCCTGGTCTAATATGAAAACATGGTTTCGCTGTCTTCTCTTGGCGATTCAAGTGAATGCAGCATCACTGTCCATGAGACTTCTGCATGTTTTTATTCAGTTCAAGCCAAAAAATCTTTATTACTTAAGTAATTAAGTTCAATAACAGAGATATCAATATTTTCTAAAATAATTATGACTCTGATTGATATCGTTCCCAAGCAAACCTAGCATCCTGCTCATGGTTGAGTTAACAGCTGTGCACTGCAGAGCGCCTCTCCTGACAGACCTCTGACATCAGTGTCAGAACGGTCACACTTGACTGATGTAGAGGAGCTTGTTTCATAAACATATACTGCAAATGAATCAAAAAGACACCTCCTAATTCATTAAACCCATGCAGGGGGTTCAATTCAGCTATAACTGCGCTGCATCTCTGTGTTGCAGGTGCTGGTTGAACACATTTAAATGAGCCATTT